AGGCTACACGCGCGAGTGCTTAGCTTCGAAGTTCTCGACTAGACTTGACACGGGTCTGCCTCAGCTGATAATCTCTTTGTCATCGAATCGCGAGAAGTCACGCGAGTGGTATTCATTTGCTCGAGAATGTTCTCTGCTCTTTTGCTCTCGTTTCTTTCTCCAATGATTTTATGATCTTCTCTACACTGAATCGGTCTCGACGATCCGCTCAGCGTCTAAACGATGCGGTTTTTCCACGGCGTCAAGCTTCTGCTTCTAGCCATCGTCATCGACTTCAGGAAACTTAAGCCTGCAGTGCGAACGAACGAGCCCAGAAAATTCCGTCGTGATCACCTGCGTCATTGGCGTCCCCATTTTACTTCATTAGAGTAATCAGAAATCGGCAATAGACTATGACTGTCCCTGGGATTTAGAGACATGGAGAGACCCGGTCCGCAGAAGCCGTGAATCTAATTCTAAGGTCACAGAGACGACCGAGCTCCTCGATCGGAGTCCTCCTCCGATGACACAGACCTTATCTCCATTCGCTTCTGTGATCTGATTGATCTCGTATATCCGTTAGTTCTCACGTGAGCACAGATTCCGTATTGCAGAAAATGTGCTCATGTGGAGTCTGCTATGAGCACGGATGGCTGTTCCTGGGAAGTTCACCCTGCAACGTGAGGGTAGCGGTCGGAGTAGCATGAACCTTCCGTCGCATTCAGCACTGTTGACGCGCTTGGCGGGTACGGCTTCCACCCAATATGGTCGCACTAGTTCCCCGATGCCCTTGTCTCAAGAAGCTCTCGGTGCTAAGGAAACGTTGACATAGACGAACGGGGCTACACCGCTCATAATGTGCCCGATGTCAGTCATAGCACTTTTCGTCGCTCCATCGGGAGCGGGGGAAAGTTTCGCCATCATATCCCCGTGTGGGTTCCCCTCCGGAGCCGTATGAATCGTTCACCCCTCTATAACGTAGATACGAATAAAGAATTTCATCAGAACCGCTGAATTCGAGCCAGATTGGACGTCCCTACCCGCGGTCATTGAATGCTGAGTATGGGGACGAGTATGCATAGACCATATTCGGAATAGTTTACGAAGTCCGCACCGCTTTCCGCCAGGACTCACAGTTCCCCATCTGTCGCTTTGAGCCCTCGTCGCGGCCATTAAGCATGAAGTAATTTTGCTCATCAATCACTACGCTCCAGCAACAATTTCCTTGTCGGTAAGCCACGAACGCAGGTAGCACCGATTCGGGACTATGGATGTTCATCATTTGACATGGACATCATATTCTCCTCGAAGGACTCCGATTACACCCGAGTCGCGAACGGGGGGAGAGGACGCATCTCCAAAGAGTCTGGGCAGGAAGAGGGGAAGACACATTGATTATGGACCAATGAGCCCTCGATTGCTCGTCGGAGCGCGCGGCTCGAAAATATTTACCTGATTGCGTTGCAAGAGCTCTCACATTCCTGATACGTCTCCGATTTCGTTCACAAGGTTTAGAGAGGGGGTACAGTTCGGAGAATATTGAAGAGACAGTCTAATTCAGACTCTGACTTAGATCCTTCGCTCATCGAGTTCCGTCAGAGCGAATCATTATCAGGAGCTAGAACGGCCGCCATGACTGAACATACAAAGGGAGAGCGGGGAGACATGGCGACTTAGTATAGAATAGCTTCACGGCTACTCCACCCCGTCGCCGCGCCGTCTCGCCAGCCAGCGGGGGACGTCGGTGTTAATTCGGCATACCGACTCGCATCGCGTTCCACGAAACACACGCCGCTCGCTCTCAGGAACACCTTAAGATGGCTCCCCTTGCTCTCCCCGCACAATCAACGGGAGGAGCAAAATCTCCGTGTGATTCATAGCGCGCAAATAATTCAGAGGCACTCTATTTACCCCAAACAGGAGGGCTATCGACTGCTGGTGTTTTTATCAATGGAAGTTCTGGATAGCGAGCATGGCTTGCCACCTTGTTCTGCCTGGATGTGGGCGCGGCCGTCTTTGATCTCTTCCTCTCGATTCATAGCAGAAGCAAAACCAGCCAGGCTCAGCTTCGCGCAGATATGGATTCTCTTCCGCGATACACGAAAACCAGGATGGCTCTCCCTCCGCCATCTTTGAGTCGAGCGCTCAATTACTTGTCTGTGGCTTCTGTCCATGGGCTGTTCGGAGCTTGAACGCGGCAGGCTAGACCCTGTCCCGATGGACTCTCGGTCAGAAAAACTTCCCCAAGTGTTTTCCAGCCCATTCCGAGGCTCTGATTCATTCAAGTGGACGCCCATGAGGGAGGCAGAGTTCGCGAATGTAAGACGAGACGTGGGTCGTCTCAGGGAACCGTCGGAGCGGATCGGAGACACGGTTCCGTCGCAGCTTTCACAACACTGGCGCTATTTCTTTCGCGAAAAAGGGACATGATGACCGGAGGAGAAATGAATGGCTGGGTCGAATTTCGAGAGGAGTTTTTGCCCATGACCTACGGGCTAGCTATTTTTCTGCCTTCGGTTTCTGCGAATGTTGAGAAACTCTCGGAGAGCTTCGAGAATGCGCATCAGACCTTGACGGCTGACGCTCGCAAGATGCTGGGTCCGATTCGTTTTTCCTCCCCATGCTCTCCATTCATTTATCCCGCACGCAGCAGCAGGGTAGCTCGTAGGAATCCGAAACAGAAGAAAATCGATGAATCCATACGCCCGCGGAGCAGACGCTCTCGCAATGCGTCTCGTTCATGGTGGCATTGCATAATATCGTTTCCAAGCTGCGATTGCCAATGATTGCTCCTTCTGACATTTATCGTCAGGGGGAGAATCCTGGTCCCATCATTGACAAAGAATAAGGAATACTAGAGGTGCGTATACCTATTGGCACCTCTTCCATGAGTACTGGATCCGGACATCGACACAAATATTCAGCTGACTGCCTGATTGGAAGTCTTCTTCAAGCAGGTTCTGTGCCTGGGCACGACAGGATGGAGATTTCGAGAATGCGAAATGAACGATTCCAGAATGCACCCGTTGCTTAAAGGTGCGACCATCCGTAGAGCAGAGAATTTCGAGTTTCTTCTTCCCCGCCTGACCTTTATATCTGAATCTGTGACGCTGTTTCCTCGGGCCAGGAGACGCGAGGTATCAGACGACGTTCCGAGGAGACGGAATGCGTCCGGGGAATTGTTTTCAAAAGTTTCCAAAACTAGCAATGGTGCACTCTTGATGTGCCTGTCCCAAAAAGGAAGCCGAGGATCGCGAACGAAAGGACATCCCTTAGCTTGTGTGTTTTTTTTTTTTCGAAAAGTTCCTAGATGAGGGAATGCAAATCCGACAGCACTTTTTCATTCGGCTCTTCCATCGTACCGGTGGTCGCCCAGGCCGACGAAAAAAGAGAAAGATATTTCACTCACACACGATCCGATTTATGGAGCATTTTGCGATGCTTATTACTAGAAAGCTCTCTCCCCTCCGGGGAAGTCGGTGTCCCCAGAGACGTTCTGGAGCACGCACGTCCTATCACCCAGCGGATACCAGGAGGCAAACAGGAAGAGGAGAGCTCCCGCTGCTCGGACCACATCGTCATCGGTTTCGCTCTAATTCGACGGTTGATCAACTCACCAAGGGAGAGAAGCTTGTGGCTAGAGGAAAGGAGGAGAAAAAGGGGGGGAAGGAGGAAGAACAGGAAATAAGTCCCGATCGATGGGGAAGCGGACTCTCGGCTCAGAACAGCGGACAGTCTGAAGATGGAGAGCATTGCTTGAAGAGAGTCCACTGCGAAATGATTGGACGCGAGAATCGTTTACTCGTGTCATAGCAGAGCTCTCAGCCACGTTGAGCTTCGTGGGAGCTTCCAGGTGTTTGCCCACTCCGTATGGTATCGAAGCAGAACACGACGACCGCGAGAGAATATTATTCTAGAAAACATAACCCGCAGCACTCTCGACCTCGCCTGAGTACATACACCCGATCCTAGGAGAATCATTCCGGCCCGTTCAGTCTCGCAGCTCACTCAGCTCGATCCCCTTCATGTATAGAAGTAAAGACTCTTCGTTATCTCCAATTGTTTATTCTACTGAATCGTGCTCTCTTATATACCCTCACACCCCCGGACTTTTGATCCAATCCCTCCTGGGATTGAGCGTAAAATGGGAATCATTCGGACACTTCTTGGAAAACTTCAATCCAACGGGGCCGAGATTCTCGAAGGGGGACCCCACTCGGACTGTAGTGTAAGGTCATTCCGGCCTCCGATTTTCTTGACGTCCTACACCAGCACTCAATTTCTACGGTGCCAGACTGAGCGACTCGCAGCTTTGAGCAGTGCCTTGTCTCGGACAGAGACGGGATCCTTGAATTATGAAGTTCTCCAACAACTCTCCATGAATGAATCTGCGTGACTAACAGATCTGTCGGCATAGATCCGGACGGTGACCTAGCCATTCTCCAAATCGACTGCGCCAGTAAAGACTCTTCGTTATCTCCAATTGTTTATTCTACTGAATCGTGCTCTCTTATATACCCTCACAATAGAGTTCCGCTTATAACGATCCTCCTTGATGAGGAACCTCGACAGTTGAGTCTATGAGAGAGAAGCTTCCTCTCGACATGGAGTCTAGGCAAAAGTGAAAGCTCGTCTCTAGCGGGATTTCAGGACTAGCACATCTCGCCTCAAGTTGTTCTGAGTGTTCCACCCGCTTATTATGATGAGCTGCTGAGTGTGAGTGGATCTCGATCCGCTTTTAAGGACTTGGATTCTCCTGGGGAGTACTCGAGCATCCTACTCAAACAGGTATTATCATGGACTGATTTAAGCTGATGAGAATGCGAAAAGAGGTTCCTACGAAACTTTCGTAACAGACAGACTGAGGAGCGTTCCGATCGCACTCCAGATACCCGCCCGAAGGAACTCATTCAATCTGGTCAGCACTTGTGCGGACGGAACCCATAGGCTCCTGGCGTCACCCCGAAGTCTGCGCCGCTCGCTTGAGGAACATTACTAGAGATAAGGTTGATTCTTCTCCGACGGAAATCAGCTGTGGAGCTTGAGCTTCGGCCAAAGCGGTAACCACTCGGTCAATCGGAGGAGAAAGACCGCTAGTCAGCTGCCTTTGATCGATTTGACTTGCGATTGTTTCTTAGCTTGCTTCTGTCTAACGCCTGCGACCGACATTTGAACTCCTCGGAAATAATGGTCCATATCTCTTGTACGCTCCGTGCGCAGGTCGAGCAGCTGATCGATGACCACGAGCCTTGCCGAGGCTTGCATGTCCAACGAAGTGTTCTCCTCGTCCAGCTCGTCATACTCCCACAGTGCTTCTATAAAATACAGAATTTCTTTCGATTGCACTCGCCAGCGGACGGATCGATGATAAATGAGCTTGAACGCTCGGAGGTTCATATGGGGATATGGGTATGGGAGGAGCGGTGGAAATAAAGTCGGAGTCGGAACCCGACTTCACGCCTATGCGAACAGATTCATTGAGGCGGGGCATCACCTTGTATTTTCATCTTCAGCGTCGCGACGATCTCTTCAAGCTCCTCTCCGGTATAAGCTGAGACTGCAAGAGAGGAACGAAATAGGTATAACTTTTGTGGCATGAACCCCGAGAATTGATTGAATGATGTTATGAGGGGGAGATGTCGACTCGGATTCACTCACGCTCTGTTTCGTTGTACCGCCGCCAGAAGAAACTGCAATCCATCTCACGCAGAACGCTTCTTCTCTCTTTCCTGGCTGATCTCCCACAATAGAGTGACGGGTTCAGCGCTGCAAACAACGACGGCACTTATTCCTCATTCTCGTCCTCTTTGAGTCAGCCGGAGCTTCAGACCAGATTCCGAGGAGCGGGTGCCCGCTCTAGAGCCTGATCCAAGAGAGAAATACTTTTGGAGCGGCTCAGAGGCTCGCGAGTGAAACGATGGGCGTTTTGTCGAACCTGATCACATTGCACTCACTCTCTCCGCAGACCGGGAGTGGGATGCCCTCCATTGAGGTTCGGGGACTCGGTGGACGAAAGGGAAGCTATTCGAGTTTCTGGATTTCCGGGAGAAGAAGAAATGTCTTGAAAAGTATTGTATTTAGCGAAGGAACGCAGAGGTAAGCAGGGTATGTTCGGATAGAATGGGAGCTCTTGATACAAGCCTCTGTTCGACAAGAGCAAATTGCTTTCGTTAAAGATCACGCTCGAGTGTGCACGCTAGCACGCTGCAAACGACGGTGACGCATGCGAACAATTCAGAATACGACTCCCGGGCGTTTGACGCAAATCGGAGTCCGCTGCACATCATCTGTCGTGAGCACCATCGGCAATCGAGCCCAATTCGCGGTCCTGATGCGATGCCACACAGCTGATCATCGGAAACACCGAGCAGGATCCTCGAGCTCACCGCCGGGGCATTCGAAAATCCGAAGGCGCCATGCGCGTCGAGCGCAGTCCTGGATACGGAAGCGTGACTTTCCAGGGTACCACTATCAGTCATAAGCGTCCGAGCTTCGGAAGTCGTGCTGTTATGCTTTCACGGCGATTACCTAAAGTGAGTGCGAGGATGGGATCGTATTTGCAGTCCATGGAAACGTGTCTGGCTCTCCCGGAACAAATCGGATCACTATAATTTTTCTCGGCCAGAGAGACCCCCCAAAGGGCTGGCATTCGATGCGGTAGCACGTCTGGACCGGGCCTTATGCTTGCGATCATATGTACCTTCCAAACTCAATTTTGAGCTAAACTGAACAAGGCTGATTGAGGTTCTTCCCCGGATTCCATTGCGGCGAAGGCGGCTAGCCCCCCTCCTCCTCACTCGAAGGAACATTCTCCAAGGGGCAGAGACATTAGATATCCGAGGATTTGGATCTGATGAAAAAGCATTTTCAAAGCTCATGCTGCCAAGACAAGTAGTATGCATTGAGGTCTGAGCCAATAGAACTTGAGATTTGAGGAAGACAGAGGAGGTTTTCTGCCTTGCAGATAAACGATCGAGCACGACTTCGCCGCGATGAACGCTTCCTAGTGAGACATTTGCCCGCAAGATGCTCGAGACGATGCATCGCATTTATCTCCCCGCCGTGGAACTGTCATCGAGGGACGATGTGTGGCGACGGATTTCCCGCGACTCGATAATTCCACAATAATTAACGTAGTCTGCGTTCCTCGTAGTCTACGTTCGATCGACCCGTTGGGGGAAAGGTCGATCACACAAACGTTCCTCGTGATGAAAACTTACCAGAGCATCAATTCCCACGGAGATAGAGACTACTCAGTAATCAGGATCCTATGGACTTCCTTCAGGAGTTGCTCATGTAAATATTCACAGGGAAGGAGAGCGATTTCACAAAGATGTAAAGATCTATCGAAGGACAACCTTAGACAACTTCCGATGGGGCGTGCTTCGCCGCATTGCTACGTCGAGCGAAACAACTCGTGACGGTGGACGGCGTGGATGGGAATCGTCGCTCAAGAGCTCGGATGGTGCGACTGCACCCAGACTTCAAATCATGTGAACCGGAAGTCGACTGTCAGAGGCCTGAAAACACCTTCGGCTCGAGCCTCCGAGGAAGTTGTCCGCGAGGAGGAAAATGAAAGTCAATCGAGGTTTTCGGGTCTGATCACGACTCGAGAGTTTCGTGAATGCAATGATTACGATAACTTATCATCATGGTGGATGCTTCCGATTCCTTCATCCTCCGAACTCCCACCCGATTTGCATTAGTTCAGACAATAGTCCCATCATACGCGAATAGAGAAGGGATGAGCGGACGCAAAAGTTTGCATCAGACAGATTGAGCTGCGTAGCAGATGGCGCCAAACGCTATCCCGAATTCATCATCGTGGCTCAGCTCCGACCGAGAGCTCGACGACGCCGACGTCAAATGCGTGGGAGAACCTCGCGGCGTCAACGGCTTTGCAGAGAGAGCCGATCTACTCATTCAGGGAGCTTAGGCGAGCCGAGACCTCGGGAATCATCAGGGTCTAACTTTTCTCCCGCTGGACAAATCCGAATGCGTCGAGAATCTCCATGACCTTGAAGTGATACTTCGGAGGGATGATGCGGAGAAAGACAACGCAAGCATGATTCACCTAGGAGGGAAAACAGCCGAGGCGATCCCCGGGAAAACGGAACCTGAGGCAAAGTCCAAGCCGAGAACTGCAATGAGTCTGTCGGAAACGAACCTTCAGAGACCTTCCCCCACCACTATCGCTCCGGAAAAGGAGCGGGAAGCAATTCATTGGAAATCATTCTCCGGGCGTCGCCCGGCGACTTCTGAGTCGTCGCTACAGTCAAGGTCTGAGCTAATAAACTCTGATCGGGTTTCTGTCAAGACCAATTTTCAGGCTGACAACAGTTTCGAATAACTCGAGGTCCCGCATCACTGAGCGAGTCGTGCCTACCGTGGAGCGTTGATGCCCGTAATGCGGGACATCTGAATATTGCAATGCACGGGAGATGGGTTGAGCTCCCGAGATCGACTCACCAACAAGTCGCGCGATGCGTTTGCGGGGATTCCCTCACGGTCAATCTAATTTTCGCAGATTGGTAGTTTGGTCGTAGACGGGAAAACTCGTAAAGAATTCTCGCGAACGTCACAGATCAGACGATCATTGGGACGCTGCGGCGCGGCGGTCGCTCTTAATAGACAACAGGACCTAAAGTGAGCCTGAGAGCAGGCGAGCCGTCATGTGGAACGAACTTGGAGCGCCCAACCTGCGCATGCTCAGTATCCGTCTGACGTTTTCCGACTTTTACTCTCAACGAGCGTTTCACTCGTTGTCGGCCGGCGCGGCGCATCAGGCTCGCGTGTGCGGATTCTCGTTTCCCGTTCCGTCGACATGCAATGTGAGAATTCTGAAGAGCATCGTTCCTCTACAGCCGATCTTTCCCTTGTTCGAGACTAAGAAAGAAGATATGTTCTGTAAGATGGGAATGAGATGGGATGAAGGATGGGAACATCCAGAGAAGTTTCTCGAACATCTACTCCGTATGACGTCAGCCACTCCTGACGGTGTCACGGTAGCCAATCCTGGATGAATTCGCCGCCCGGACGGTCGAATCTCGCCGTTGTTGGGATTCGCGGATTGGCGCAATTCTTTCGATGACTCAGGTTTCGGACCTCGATCATGTCCGCAGAATATCCCTGAGAGCGGGGAATCAGCTCGTGTAGGAAGAACGGTCCACTGAACTGCATTCTCGTGTGGAAGGGAAGACACAATTTCATCGATGGCCTCGAGACATTCTTCCAGGTGAAGAGTATGGCTACGGAATGGGTCACATCCCCACACCCATGGTCAAGCTACGCGGTTGGCATTTTCGGGAAAACAGCTGTGGGAACGCATAAGGATCCCCGGACCAGGGAAAGTAGCGAATCATTCGCTCACAGCTCGTGTTTCGTCACAGGCCTTTGCCTCCGTGGAGAAGGACTTACGTGTGATTTACGGCTGTCCCTCAACCTGCATTGGGAGCTGCAACCTGCCAATGCTTCGTTCGTAGTGGCTAGCCATGAAAGAAGCGCTCGGAGGCTCAGAGTAGACGCATGGCAAAGAGGAGGCTTGCGTGAGTCGATAGGTTTGATGGCTGATACTTCATTGGGTGAATGCTACGAACGACCGCGACGGGGCCCATCGGTAGCGCCGCTGATGACGGCGCCCAGACCGAGTTTATCATTCTGGCAGTCACATTGGACTTGCCGGAAATGGGTTATCCATAGACTGACGAAGGGGGCGTGAATCGACAACGATATCCCGATTCTCGAGGTGCTCCGGGAGAGTGATCTCGTCGAATTATGTCGCGGTCTTCTCGGTTCCACATGCTCCCGGCGGATGGCATTCGTTCGAGTCCTCCCGTCTTTTCAGACGCACGTCCGGCGCAGCGGCACCGGCGCTAGCTCTGTGATTAGTGATTACCATGTTGCAACAAGCAGATCGCGATCATCGGGCTGCCAAAAATCCGGCGTCATGGCTGGGAGCGTCCTGGTAATTATCGGTATGTCTGCAGAATACAACGGGTCCGCGTACAGGTGTTAGAGTAGAGAAATGCCGGTTCCACGGCAGACTATAAGAGCGGGCGGACAAGCCGATGATTTATGCGTCTTCTCGCTCGAGGTGTTCTCTGCCATGTACGCCCGCGTTCCACAATGATTCAAAAACGAGTCCGAACTTCGTAAGCTTGGTGCGGCACGCTCCGTCCATTTAGCAAATGTTTCCCCACCCCATAGATCGTCCACAAGTGCAGGCATGAGTCGAGAGAGCTGACGTTCCACTCAGGCTGTGGTGACACTCTAAATTGTCCTGAAAACTTCTCGCATACATCCGTGCGTTGGAACGCTGTCTAGAGTACCCCCCAACCTCGGGAACTCTGCGATGGGTGGCCTCGATTCTCGCGATGCGTCGCAGTCGCAGGGAACGCGGGGCCGCCGTCCCCAGAACGCAGAATCGCATAATAATAGATTTCCCCGAAATACTTTCCCGAGGGATCATCCACTCCTCATCCAATAACTCTGATCGGTTTCGATGGGCCCCTTGTGAATAATCGACCATCGCGCTTGCACGATCGCGATAACGTGCTGCGCTCCCGAGATGCCCAAAGTCAAATCCCGACTCAGCGAGTGTGTAAAGAGAGTTTTTCTCAGAGAAGAACAATGATTCGTTTGAAATCTGGCCTTCTCGGAATTGAGGAACAAGTCAGCGACTTGGCCTTGCCAGTTGTCTGGTAAATGGTCACGTTGCTCGCTTTCGACCCGAGTCGACGTGAGCGGCGGAAGAACTTGCTCCAGGGTCGGGAATGAAAGGAAAATATCCCCGATATCAGCTCATTGTGCTGAAGTTTTCTTGAAACGTCCTGTCGAGCTAGAGGATGACGGAATGATGTACTGTTGAAAGACTCGTGAAGCGCGTTCTGAGCAGTGCATGAAACGACTATTTGGATTGCGCAGCTACGACACGGAGCTGCGCAGGGAGTGGACTTATCTCATCGATCATGATCTCGTTTCGTTCCCCTTGCATGCTTGTGTATCGCTGAAATCGAGAAACGTCGCGTTTCCAGGAGCCGCGGTTGTTCGCAGAGCCTACTCGGGACATGGTACATGAGTGTACTCTGCAAATACAGTGCAATCTCGTTACAGCGAACACTTTCACAACTACTAATAGGACCATCACTTTTTCCCCTCCGTTCGGCTGGCTTGGCATGGGGATTGTGGTGCGATTGGAATGGATCGAGAAGGAAGCACCATGATACCCGCTTACCTGATGAGAATCAAAATGCGAATCGTATAATGAGGCTTCAGACTCTCGTCATTTCTCCCATTCATCCCATTGGCCCGCGGATTCACACGCTCCCTGAGCGGGTTCTATGAATAAAATGTATGACCTCATCCCTGCACCCGGTACTAGAAGTCTAGAACCACATGCAGAAGTGGCCACAGAAAAACGAAATGGAAACCGAACTGATTCGTCCCCCGAGTCGGCTTCTGTCTGGGAGTCATCACAGATCTGATTCCGGGAAAATTCGAGGGAAATTCGGAAATTCGACTCTACATCGCTCGTATGTCGAAAGTTCCGCAATACCCTACGCAAGGCAAATGAACCGTGGAAATGGCTCCCTGCAACTCATTTGACCTCGAAGATGATGTTCGAATCCGTGTTCTATGCAGCCAATACCGGACGATGCGGGGCCTAGCGAGTTGAAGTTCAAGGTTCCTGGCGGAGGGGAAGAAGCGGGAAATCAGCGAAGTTCCAGCTCTGCAAAAACTCGGAGTTCCTCGATGGCTCCCAAACCCTTCGGAGCAGCTAAGGACAGAGCGACAATTCTCTGCATCGGCTGTGGGAAAGTTAGGCCGACGAGGCGTTCGGTTGATTCGGTAATCGATTCTCTAGCCTAGGCCTGGGCGCATGTTCCCCCCACGGCTCGTGGAGGGGGCGGGGATGGTTGGCACCTTCGTGCCATTGGGTATCCCGCTGCGACGGAATAAACCGTTTAGGCGCAGGGAGGTCAGATGAGCTACATGTCACAGCTTTCGCAATAGCGGACACCCCAAAGAGGGGTGACCGAGTGTGCGCCCCGGTCCTGACGGGCGTCTGGCCTCCCATCCTGGATGTCTGTATCGATGCCAGCCTCGCGCAACTTTCCCGAATCCACAGGAAATAATCGTGCTTGTTTCTGCCGCCCGGAGGAGTTGTGTCGGGCTCTATTCATTGGGTGCGGGTCCTTCTCAGTCGTTTCGCAGGGCGCTTCGACCGTAGCGGGAACAAGTGGTCCGAATTTCTAATCCTGGATGCCCAAAGTACCGAAGATTGACGTATCTTGTCCGGAGATACTTGCGGCGTGCATTGAGTCCTTGACCCGGATTGGAGCGATCCGGAGAAGAGCACCGGAGGTCGCGCGAGATGGTCACACGACGTGGAGCCCACATGGTCCAGGATCGCCCGCTAGATATTCGCGGAATGCCCGAACACGCATTGTTCCTCGGGTCTCGTTGACTCTCCCAGGATTGAGCGATGTTGACTCCGCGGGCTTCCCGGGAAAGCCAATGAGACGTGTGCTGATAGTGGAATCTTAGAAGTCCTGACTCAGGACTCCGCTGATTGTGGGGTCTCGGCCCCTCGAGTTGTGCGAGCCTCGGCCGGACGAGCCATTTGAGACTAATGGATGGAACCGAGATTGGTCTCAACTGTCAGCCACTAAATCGGAGCATGAGTGTACTGATTCGTTGATCATATTCTTCAATTCGCACAGTCGCCCATTCATCCGCTCACGCAATTAGCCGGTCGTTGTGCCGCACTGCAGCGATCTGTTCTGTCTTCGGCTGATTTAGAAATGACGCGCAGGCTCTAAACGGACTGATTCGAGATTCTGTCAAGAAATCAGCAGTTACTGCGTTGACGGTATACTGGAGACGAATTAAGAGCAGATATTCCAGACGTTTCATCGGTGGAGCCCGCTTTGGTAAATCATCTTCTCTGATCCCGAATTCGGGGAAACGATTTCGATGCTGATAGTTCTCGAACTTACAAGGCAGTCGTCGGCCCCCGCGACCGTAGCAACCTCGGACCTCCTCTGAACATCCCCACACGATCCCCCCCCCGATTGACCCGGAAGGCCTGGCACCAGAAAACGAGAACGAGCCGACAGGACTTGACGCCCCTCACCATCGAATAATTCGAATAAGCATTGCTGCGATTATCCTCGCCGTCGTGATGATTGCCCTTCATCGGACTTCATTCGTCGAGCAGTCGGTAGCAAGCGATCCTGCGATCGGAAGAAGACATCCTTTTCATCAACACAGCATACATTGGCATGTTTCCACCATCGGATAGCGCGCATGGAAATTAAAAATCGAAAGTTATTTCTTCACTCTTGGTGGCCTTGATGCACGGCCGGAATCGGAGGAGAAGACGCCTTACATCATTTTTCGGAATGACCATCCGAGCTCGTACGGCACCGCCATACGTTGTGCTCGCAAAAACGCGAGGGGCCAGACGTCAATTTGCCTTTACTCGATCGGCGGATAGGAACACACATTCGCCCATTTCGACTTCCGTCAATGGAGCAGACACTTTTCAGAGTATCGGGTGACTTGGGCCAGGGTCCGACAGTCTGAGAACACCGTGATGATCCTAATGATGATCAGTAATGACGAGGAAACTTATATTCTGGTCCCTGAAATTCGGCACCTGTTTTTGGCGGCACGCATGCGGAGCATTCTCTTCTCGCAGGTTCGAATGGTATTTCCGATATCGCTTTCGTATGCTGGTATGCTGTCCGACCATCAGGATGTAACATGAGTGACGTTGGAATACGTCATCGGCACGAAATAGCGCGCGGCAGATGCATTCCCCCTTTCCTTCGATGATTGAGCCGCACAGGGGCCATTTCGTCGATGCGACGCTAAGGGTCTCCGGTGGTCCGAACGCTGTGCTGCGTGTTCAGAGCTTGTGAGCCCTGGCGAGGGGGAATCCGAGGTGAAGTTGCGCGGCGATCAACACAAGGATGAACATTAGACCCCCGAACTGTGAAGTGTAAATTCGCGTGGCGGGTCGCAGAGACAGTTGACCCTTCTGCTCGGTCGTTTTTGATCTCTCCGTTGCCACACATCGCCCTCACCACAATCTTCAGTGACGACGGAAACGACGGACACATATCCGCAATGCTTGCGCAGAGTTCGAGTTTGTTCACGCTATGAGTCTCGTTTTCACCCTTCTGAGTGTTTCCGCGCTCGTCGTGTCCGTCCGGGGGCGTCCGACGGAAACGACGACGGGCACGATGAGCAGCGGAGCGCCAGACACGAAGAAAGCCTCGAGGGATCCTCCGCCGGAGACGATCCCAAACTCGAGTTCGGAAGACGTCGGGGACGTGCTCCTTCTCCGGATAAGCGTTTCGAGCAAAGACGACATTGTTGAGGAATGTGAAAAGTTCGCCCGAATAGTGGTCAACGGGAAAAATCGCGTGGAGGAAGCGATTGTCACTTTTGGCGCTCGGGAGTTCTTTCTCGACCTGGAAGCACAGCGTCAGAAAATATCCGAGGCCGTGGCTCGCGTCCTCAACGATCGCGCCGAGAACAAGCTCGACAGGTACTTCCGATGCGTAGAAAAGCTCACGAGATTATCCGCACAATATCCACGCATAGGCTGAAACGGATATCATATCGTGGGATCCTCATCCCTCCCTCCCTCCTCGACATCCCTTCTTGACTGGCTGTTGAGCGAGCCACGCGGTTCCATGCGCGGAGGGAGTCCGGTCCACAGGAGCTCTGTGAGCTCTCAGCGTAGACACTGCGCTACGAATAGATAGCACATTCTCGGTTACGAGAGAAAAACAGATCTCCAATAAAGTACAATGATGTTTAATTCCGATCTCATTTTCTCTATAGTTCGTTGCCGATTCTGATGATCTCGCAGACTGATAATAAAGTATTGCGTTCCCCAGCCGGCCACCGGAAGAGACTCGGATTTCCGCTGAAACTCACACTCTCATGAATCAACGCTCTTCTCGCGGGAAAAATGTGCGGAGAAGTGGCACGAGACAACCCGAGCACTTCCGAGTGAGAAAGGAACGAGTTATGGCCGGCGGCTGCGCAGCCAGAGCGACGAGCGGTACCCAAATATTGTTTCTTCTCACCTTCTGATGGGTCTTCGGAATAATTCACCGCGGATTCGCCGCACGGAGAGTCGAGAAAAAGATACGGGAAATCTCTTCAAGCAGCTGCTTACGGAAGATGCGGAAGCACAAGATAGGAAAATGAGATTTCATCCTACGACGAAATCCGAACATCGAGGTTTCCTGTTTCCGGAAGACAATGAACGAGAGCTCGTGTTTTCATGCAGGAATTTCACACGCACATGGCCTTCTGGAGATGATGCCTCGCTTCTCCTCTCTTCGTCGGAATTTTTAAGTGCGTACCAGGTATGTAGATTTCGAGAGGCTCGCCATGTTTATGGCTTCCGTCTCCTCCGGTTGCCAGTGACGGCGGAAGCACCAGATGTTAAGCGAAATATTTTCGCAGGCATCTTGTGGGGAACCTGGCCCAGAATTCTGTGGAGCGTGCTCGATCTCGACAAGTCTTCTCATACGTACTTAAGCGCGATTTCGCAAAGATGTTATGTCGCTCGATGGATGGCGATGACGTGAAGACCCTCCGCGATACTCGCGAATCACCCAGAGGTTCTGAGTAATTCGCATTAGACGTCGAGTCGGGGTCCTGAGTCAGAAAGCCGACTCGATGTCTCTCCCGGTCTCCTCCTTTCTTGGCGCATGTTTGCCGGCGGCCTGATTTTTTCTAGTATGAAATACTCATCCAGCTCTCCATGAGGGGGTGTTCCGATGTTCCTGGACTCTGAGCGCCGGAGGAAAGTCCGAACCTAGTTCCGATCGACTCGGGAAAGCCAGCCGAGCTGGGAGCATTTTCCTCAGATGCGACGGGGATCGGAGAAATATCCAGGACACCAATCACCACGTAAGGGAGTCTCACGCGCATGGACGTTTGTTATCCCGCACATCTTGGAATAAACGCCTGATTCTCGCTTCACTGAGCTCGCCAGACAGAGTTGAGCTCCTGGAGTCGGGAGGCTCGATCGTACGGAGCTGCCGGCATCTGAAGTGAGTAGTGGTTTCGCGCTTCGATACCGTCCGGTAAAACTGTGCTGCTTCGAAGCTGCGAAGCCTTTTCGAAGTAACATGAACAATGTTTTGCAGTCAAACTTTCCATACTAGCTTTCCTTGAAAAGTTCGTAGACGCTCTCACTCAGATAAGTAGGGAGTGGCAATCGATCACGACTCTTCGTGAATAAAGAATGCTTTTCTGGATGATGGGTTATACCAGGAGAGACCTCGATGAGCCCCTCGACTATAAATATCTATATATGAGATGTGGGGTTATCGACAGTGGGGGTGGGCGCTTCAAAAGTTCCGACAGCGAGTCGTCGGCGCAGCGCGTCGTCGACTAAGGTCGGGAACACCGACGAGCTCGAAACGAAAGGAGGATAAGCGGATCATGGCGAGCAGTCGAAGCTACGGTTAACGAACTCTCGACAGCAAATCCGAACTTATTTTCGTATTTCCGGAGACAAGGTGAAGGACTCGAGCTCCTCCGGCACCAAGCGCCAGAGAATTGTGGCTTCGACCTCAATCGAGCAGGGTCGTCAAAACTTTGCGACCCGAGCGTAGCTCATCCGCTCTCCGCTTAGCTAGCATAACGCAGCTTTCAGCTGTGAGAGCAACCGGGTTCGATCGAATCTAGCGAGAGTTTGAGCATATATTCAACTTCAAAGCAATCGAGTACCATTCTCGGATCGAGTCGCAGATCTCCTTGCCCTTCCAGAGGATCTTCGCGAGTCGAATTCGGGGTCGGTATAACGAGGGGAAGACGTGTCTGGTGACTTAGTCAAGAAAATATTATAGTTGTCAGTACATCGTCCTGTGGGCCTCTCGAAGACATAGCTGAAGGCCGAGATCTTCATACCGAAATCAATCACCGATATCCTCGCGCAACACTTCGAAATGACGGCAATCGAGAAAGATATCGAGTTCCGAAGCTCAAAGCTAATGAAAAAAATGCTGAAATGCTACAGCGAATGCATGAGCTATGAGAGCTCACAGCTCGACGGATAAGTATTTTCTTCCGATTCCGACCCACCTGCAAAGATCTAGAATTCTTTCAAGTCGGGAGGCACCGGATCCCGGACAAAGGGTGCAAAGAACCGTGCGCAGTCGATTCCGGGGTTGGAATGCATACACTGCACCGGAAAACCTCCAAATACATACACTACTAAGGTATGGATCTCGGCTTGTGGCCAGGCGCAAAAGCCTTTCCACGTCACTTGCTCCTCCGAGCAAACGATCAGCCGAGCATTGCAGGACTCGGAATCCCTGGTCTTGTAGGGTTTGAACTTGCTAGCGGGCACGAGAGGGTCGTAATCGGCTCCCGCGAAGGTTCGAACATTTTTTTTTCCACGATTCACGCGGTCGGAGAAAAAGTCCATCCCCCCGGCCCGCAGGAAGTTCTTACTTCGAGCCGATTAGGTTATGATCGGCTCTGAGGATCTTAAGGTTCACTTTCCGGCAAAGAGAGAACAAGGAATTCCCGACCCGGACTCACAATTATTTGATGTTCCCGCCCCTCCTTCATTCCCTGGAGCCGGAGCAATGAGCTCATGGATTCTAAATGTCTTGCGATGCGAAAGCCGTCAGGCTATGAATAAGCGATCTACAGAAATTGAGAAACTCACGCTGAGGAAAAATTTCTCGCCGACGTGAGCATGTTGAATCGCATCTCATATATTACGTTGTTCGAGTATACTTCAATCACAGATGAGTTTTTCTTCTTCACAGAAGATTTTACACAGATCTAAGAAGAGTTGAGCACTGTTTGGATCCAATCAGAGTACTTGGCAACTCGGGTATACGATCCTGGATAGCCTTTTTCAGCACAACGACGACCGAAGGACGTGACCCCGATGACTGTGTAGCGTCCTTTCTCGTTTAGAAGCATCAGCGGTCCCCCTGAATCACCCTGAAAATAAATCTGCAGTCAAGTCATCGCATTTCCCCACTTTTCCCTCTATTTCAGATAAGGTGACGTCCTCAGACACGATCCGCTCGAATCCAACTAAGTTAGATTCCGAGTCGGCGCCTCTTTCCGAGAAAATCCGCTGGACATCGTTCTGCTCCTCCATACTAGCCATCCGCGCAGATGTAAACTCTACACCCAGAAGCAAGGACGGAGCCCTGCTCCGGAATCTGGCAAACCGCGAACGGCCTGCCGACTCCAGACAAACATTCCGAGCCTTCGCGGAATCAGCGCGTCGAGGAACCGCACGTTGACCAAAAAGTGATTTCATCCCATTCGAGCTCAAAATGATGTCCCGGTGCTTAATGGCACCAAGGCCATGAGCCCTACGTGCCGCTCCCGCGATACAATCAAGCGTTATAATTAGGAGCATTGTCAGAACAAAATGAGAAATCGCTCAAATGTAATTGGAACACCGCAGACCGTCATGTGATGTAAGCGGGCTCGTCGGTTCAATCGGTTAGAAAGGAGGAAACTGGCGCTCATTCACGTCGGGATAGGGGAGGCGAACTGGTTTCTCTCCAAAGACGGACTGAAGTAAGCTACGAAGATTTTTTCTGCTAGAGGAGAGCCCCTGGAACCAATGCGTGTTTGTCGCGTCGGTCCTCACCCTGCACGTGTCTCGGTCGCCTTGCAGACTCCCGGCGCAAAGATAGTTGTCGTTGAAACGGATCACTGTCCTCTTGAAAGCCTCCTTACAGGTGTCCAAGGACTGAAGAGGCAGAGTGGTTTCTTGGAGAACCGAGCTTGCTGGTCCAGCTGTAATAGCGAACCAATATCATTAATTGGTGCGGCGCAATTCGTCGTCCTGCGGGTCGTGGACGGCACGCAGAGACCAATACCCCAGGGTTCGACCCTAAATTAGATAGTGTTTAGGCACCCATCTATTTTTTCCGAGCTTCCACAGCCCAAGGTCCCATTATATACTCCAAAGTCAACAAGTTTCGAGACCCGGCCAGCGATCGAAAAGCAATCGGAGGTCAACTCCGAAATCGAACTCTTCTTATGTCGATCGTGACATAGCTCGTCTCGGATCACCTACCGTAATACAACTCTCCCCAGCCAGCGACATTTGCGCTTCGTCCCTTGTATTCGCTGTCGTCCCCAGCGGTGTCCGGAACGCATATCGGAGCCACTCCCTGACCGTATGACACGGCTCGCCGTAAACTGAGATCGTTTTGGAACACGATTAGATTTCGCATCGTTTTCTCTTCAGCGCCATATCAAACGGTCGACTCGGGGTCCGACCCTGAGTTTGGCATCGAGTTGGAGTCTGGAGACAGCTTCCACATCATCGTGGAGCAGAACCAAGAGTTTCACCTCAAAATGGCGATGTCGTTGAAGTAGGTACGGTTATTGAAGTTCGGGTGGCTGTTCACTCGGTTGACGTCTATGTCGACGGGGTTCGCTCCATCGTCGGTAGCCAAGTAGTCGTGCTCACCGAGACGCACGGTGAATCGATTCGCTGGTAGTCTGCAAGAGAAACAAAATTGCCGAATCTTTTTCGCCTCTACCAATCATCGCGTCGGCCGTTGTTGGCCTCCAAAGTTCTGAAAACAGAGCTCTGGGAGCTGCGCCCTCAATAGGAGTCTTTTGTTTCAGGTCCCGTATGCGCGGACTCTCACTCGGCGTCGACGAGTGAGTCCGTTCCCGTTTCGTGGCGGTCAAACGTATGGAAAAATCCGGCTGCGTAAGAGCCATGGCTTGATCCTTATTTATGAACTCACACTTTTCCCATGAGGTTAACACAATGTGCCGCTGTGAGAACATGTCTCGGGCTTATCAGAGCACCTCCACACAGAGGAGCTTTGTATCCATTGCCGGAGACATCAACAAAGAGGAGCGCCTGTAAAAATGCAATGAAATCCATTTGAAAAAACATGGAGAGTGAGTCCGGACAAGAGTTCTCTTCGAGATAGATATCTCTACTCTACGGTGATAAGGCAAAAACTTTCATGTCAGGAGCGACCCTCTGACTCGCAGAGCAGCTCCGAGGTCCCCGCATCCGGGTTTCTTCCACCGACTCTGGGAATCCTAGTCCTCGGCGATCAGTCTTCGCCCAACATTCGCATGCGAACTCACCAGCCACGGCCAGGCTCCTACAGCGGCCTCCCTGCCGCCGACGATCCTTTTTGAGGTTGAATTTGTCAGTCCACAATCTGTAAATACGTAAAGACCTCAGAGATTCTGTACCGGCCTTTTTTAGAGAGCCGATCCAGCGCAACGACACGGGGAGAAAAACATCAACTTTCTAGCCCGGTGACCTTGACCTATCGACGTTCGAGGGTCTGTGGCGCTCGGCGGAAGTGTAGGATCAAACACGTTCGCTTCTGTGTCCGCCCGCCGACAAATGAATTCCGATATTCGCTCTGCCTCGAAAGCGAGAAAAAAATTCTGTTCCGCGTAATTCGTGAGACGGACCAAAGATTCGGCATTCCTCGAGGGCAGGACCGCTTCCTGCCTAAACCGCACACGAATAGTCCGCTCATTCGGCTCGATGGGACTCCCCTCTCGGGACATCACGTCGTTTGATACCATCTGATGCTTGCTATCGCTACGTTTTTCTATCATTCGCGAAATGCGACGCCTACAGGTCGAACAGTGGTCGCGACGAGCTGCACGGTGAGCATCGGAAAAAAACAGACAATGGGTACGATTCCGTCATTCAAGCGTGAAGCGTGCTAAATAGTCATTACATCATACACCATCAGCTTTCGGGTACCTAGATACGAACGAAATGAAAATCAGAAACGAAGTTCCTCGCTGGCGAGAGGCGGACTCTTTCAAGCATACTCAGGATCTACGATCGCGACTCTCCAGGAAGGAACTGAATACTCGGGAATAGAATAAGAATTAATGGGTACATTGACAAGTCAACGCGAAGTGGAACGGACTCTGATTCGAATTAATGATATTCCGGAAGCATCAATCCGATCGTAGACTCTCCACTAAAGAATCTATCAAGATGGAAATACTTTTTTCAACGTTATTTTCACGAGGCAGCCCTAAGCGAGATTGATTCAACTGTGCCGCGTCAAGGTGGAAGCCCGAGTCTCGAAGGGCCCAACTCCTTGAGAAACAACAAAGTTCACCGTAAAATTATTCTGTTACGTCGACCAAATTCAAAGAACGCATGCGGACGTTGCACTCACATCGGGAATTCAGGAGACGATCGCTTCCGCTTGGCCTATTCAAATTAAGGCCGCTACCGCCACCGCCGTTGAAGTTGCTTCCAGCGCCTTCATTCCGGGATGGAGGACGCAAGTTCGGCAAGCCGAATTGATTGGTATTTTGGACCGGAAGTTGACCCACATAGGTTGGTGGGCTCGTGGGTCGGGGCTGCACATATTCCGATGGAGGGTGTCCACCTGCGTATCCATTTTGGAACCGGTTGTTATTGGAGGGGATGTGGGCCGAGAGGTACTCGGGAAGACCCAGGAATGCGGGACTGTACGCGGGTTTGCGGAAGCCCGGCCTGAACGCATAAGCATCATTACCGTAGTTATTGAATCCGCCTCCCCCCCCGAAGCCGTTGTTGTTGAAACCGAACGGGGACGGTTGTTGGAAACCGAAGCCGGCATTGCTATACGCTGGCTGCTGATAGAAACTGCGCACAGGATTGTAGAAGAATGAGTTGGCGAACGGGTTTTGTTGGAAGAAATTCTGTTGGAAACCCGGTAGAAACGGTTGGAAAAGAGAGTTGCCGAAGCCGTAGGTATCGTGCGGACAGCATACGAGGGGGCGGCGATTCGAAAAACCACAGAGACTGCTCCGCGCAATGAACTCGTTCTCGAACGAGGCGCTGCACTCCGAGTAGGGAACGCATCGACCGACGCCGCCCTGGTAGGAGCGGCAGCCCTGCGACGCGCTGGATCTCACGGGCGTCAGCGAGCGGCTTTCGATCTCTTCGGGCCCTGTTGAGTTCGCGTCCAAAGTGAAATTCAAGGCGATCGATGTGAAATTGAGAGGTGCTCCGCTTGTGGCACTTCGCATCGTTGTTTTCGACGTCCCCGTCAATCCTGAAACCAGGGAACCGAATGAAAGGCAAAGGACCAGCATAAGGGATGAACTTGATCGAGACGACTCCTTTCGATCCCGATAAACAACCATATGTCTCTCAAAGGCTGGGCGCTTCATGAGCTGGGTGTTTGAACAGCGCCCGCAATTGCCGGCTACAAAGCGTTCTCAGAACCCTCATGTGATTCAATTCCTGGGTATTCCCCGCCTTTGTTTTCTCAGCCATCATTATATTTCTGGTCTTCCGCGAAGGATTGCTACTACATTGTATGTCGGACCGCGAATCCGAGACCGATCGGATACTTTCTCGAGCTCCCGCTAAAAGGCATCGGCAAAGCTCTTGGGAAAATCGATGGAGCCAGGCGGGTTCATGGTCGAAAAGGAGGAGCGAGAAATACGACATATGATGATCATTTCGCGAAATTCTCGGGCAATGTATCGCGGGAGAAGGTGCTTGTCCCCAGGAGCGGCGCCATGAGAGAATTTTCATCGATCCCGGAATCAGAGCCTCGCTTATCGAGTCGGAAACGACTCAAGGAAACTACCGGTGGACACATGTGGTCAGAGCTCAGAGCACGCGCAGGACCGATATCGTTGGCCTATTTCCCAAGATCGCCTCCGACTGTGATCCCATAGGTGCACTCATCTATACCCGAGAGCACCGGATAGCATCGCGGCGCTGAAACCTTTGAGTGCGGGACCCGCGAAGCCCCCGAGAATGGAAGTGCCCCTCGCGGAATGTCATTCTTATCAGCAGAACTCGATTTTCCTCTTCGGCATGGCTCGGATCTGGCGTTCTGAATCACTTACCTCCATCGTCACAGAGCGCAGACACAAGGACCGCAAAGATCACGATGCACTTTTCCATTTCGATTGAAGGCAGTCTGAGTACGCTCTGCCCTTTCGGAAAGAGACCCTTCCGAGGATTGGGACTTTTCAGATCGGAAGACGGCGATCACAGAAACACCGGTGGCCGCCACGGTCGAGAGGAAACTGACCGCTCTGAGAACTGACCCGAGAACGTCCGACTGACGTTTCTCCGATCTGTGGCTCACAGAGTTCCTCCTGAAAGAACCGAGGGTTGTCGCTGCGCCGTGACAGAGATAAGCAGCACTAGAAGTTCACATGCGTGAGTCCCGAAGTCCGGTCTTAGTACAGTTCACCTTCTCACTCACTCATTCACTCACTCAGCGGTGGGTCCGCCACTTGGTCAGTCTTCTTCCTGGCTTGTCGAACTTTCGCGGTTGGAACAGCGCTCTACTATCAACGACAGGACTTTCCGCTGCCGTTCATCAAGTGGGATATTTTCTGGGCGTGGAGGAGTATCGTTTTGCGGAACGCTGGAATTCGTTCAGTGTAACGCGAATAATAATGCGTAATGCAGCGTCGACCGCGGTACCGAGTTAGAATATAGAAGAAATTCGCCGCAGATAAGAGCTAGACCATGAGACCTCCTTTCTTCTGGAATACGATGACATGGACGACGTCGACGATTCTCTCTTCTTTCTTAGATCATGCTCTTTGTTGTGAGCACTCGTTGTATCGTCGAAGAATGACCCTTTCCGATCCTTCCACTCGATTCTCTCCGTGCAGCCGCGGTAGCGGCGACACCGCTCTTGTCACGACGCTTCTCCGACGTCCTTATGCAGCTGAGCTCTTCTTAATGACGATGACGACGCCGACGCTTATGACGTATGAATAAACGAAACTTTCGTATGTGACGTCGAGGTTCTGAGGATGAGGTAGGAACAACGACGACGTCGAGCCCCTTTCTCCATAGGGCTCCATAGGGCTCCATCTCAATCAACTCGGACTATGACGACGGGGAAACCGTCTTCTCGATGCCCCTCATCCTCGGAAAGTTCTTGTTCAATTCTGATGTTCCAGATCGCGAAAAGTTCAGACCCATTTGCATATTTATTCGTTTTCCCTAGACCGAGACGAGGCAGAGACGGGGAGCTTGCTATTGGTCTTTTCAGCTTTTTCCTGCTTGAGGACATTTTCCACGCGCGGCAGATATTGTGAGACCTCAGCCACATCAGCACCTCCACGAGGCTCCCGAAATAATTGTCCGCTCATGGTGTCTTCCCGATTCTTTCTTCGCCCGGTTTCGTCAGGTCTTCTCAGAATTTTCCTTCGAAGTCAGCCTCATAAGAACGTAGCAGATGCGTGAAAATGTCACGCAATCGTTTCGTACTCCGGAATTCTGGTAACAGCTGGATCTCGTATACGGAACAATCAGAAAGTAATAGTCGAGGAGGCATCGACCAAACCAGTGTTGGATGGGTGCTTTCCTCGATCGCGTTCGCGCTTTCGCGATTCCTTTGTCGGGGCTCCGGAGCCGATTCTAGAGACTGTCGAGCGCGACTTCAGGCTGGATGGAATCGATTGAGGTTCTCCTCGGGCATGAGATAGGCGTATCGCGCGAAGTGATCCTAGGGGCGGATTCAGAATGACCTGATGTAGAGCACGAGCCTCCAAGCTCCGTACTGGTCATTCGCAATTGCGAGTCGGGATTGAAGGGTTAATGAGATCTACGATCCGTTCATGAGGTGAATTCTCTGCTTGTATCGAGTGCTTGACTGGGATTTTCGGTCTCCAGTCTTGAAATACCCCGTAATTCTCCCATGTCATACACCTTGGCAGTTGAGGTTGAGGGGCAGTCATCAAAGACGAAGAGCTGGTATTGTCGGCGGAATATTCCCATCGCAGACTTGTGGAAGCTTTCCGCTGAACTTACTCTCGGTCGCCGTACTTCTCGCTACTCGGAAAAGATTCCTATATTCGGTATTCTCCGTGTGAGTCATTCCCTCCTCTCCGCTTGAATTTGCTTCCCGCGAGAAATGAGCTCCTCCATGAGATCACCTGCCTTCCTCGATGGGCTCACACTCACCAACCCCGGCCTCGGACAATACTCCGAATGGAGACTACCCAACCTAGTCCAGGGAGCCTTCCTGGATCTTGTCAATGGAAAGGCTCGCGAGTTCGTCAGCAGTCCGAAGCCGAGGCGATGTTCTGCGAAGTCTCTGGAGAGTCGGAATCTCGGAGCTCTTTTCGAAGATAGCGGAAACGAGAGTGAACGAAAGAGTTTCTGGAAAGCTCCCTCTGGGAAGCATCGTCCCCGAAGTACCGTAAGAGCGGCGTCGCAGTTACCGAATTTTTTTCTGTCAGGAAGGGTCATCGGACATTTCGCGTGGGGCACCACGAGAAAAACTGAACGCATGACGTCACATTGTCTCACATGCTCCGCGTAGCATGGTAGCACCATGTTTTCACCAAGATGTCGCGACGAGTTTTTCTCGAAGCCGACCCTATCTCGGACTAAGGCGGAATATGCGGGTGTCATCCCGCGATTCCAAGCGATTCCATTTGAAGCTGAAGGGTAGAATCAAGCGAGTTTCGATACTTCATTGAGCGTTCATGCGGATAACTCTTCTTTCTTCCGGCCCCATCTCTGATTTCCTGTTCTGGTCTGAGACTTATTAGACCGGACGATGCTGGCTGCACGGGTCAGCTGTGAACCCCACGTACCGCGTTTCATCCCTCACTGCTCTCCGGACGGAATAACTCCATTTGGAATGTCCGGGAAGATTGCACAGCTTGTATCGTAGATTACCTCACTCGGAACTATATCTTTCCGCATCCTCAGATCATCGAAGCCAAGACGAATTCTTCGACCAGTTGACGAAGGTATCTCATTATTTCTGGAGGAGGCCCCGCTGTGACGACAGAGGTGTTTTCCCGCGCACCTCTTGATTGGCCCTCGACATCAAATGGAGAAGCTCTCCTCCGGACCCCAGTGGCTATTATGATCACGCGCTCTTCTGAAATTTCGAGCTATTTTTCGCTGGGCCAGTACGCATTTTCGGGCCCAAAAGAGGATTTTGAGCAGGAAAATTTCAAGCAGGTTAAGTGCTTTGGGGTCTGGATGCCTAAGGGGCTCTCGATGGGATTTTGCCCGGATCTTTGCAGCTGTTCCAAGCGCCTTGTAGAGGCGCTACACGGATAAACGGAGAATCGAGCAATGATCTCCTCATCTCTCGGTACCTCAATACTTCTATTTGCATGATTTGCAGATTGCCCACGCTCTACTTCTTCGCTGAGGACGAGCTCTCGCGAGACGGAGAATCGTCACCAACCTCAGCCCCCCCCTATTTTGAGGCGCCCTGAACTCCATTCGGAAGAACGTAGATGGTCCCAGTTCAGCCGATTCCGGGACGAATGGGCTGCCTCGTCTCTCGATTTGAAGGATTTCAGTGAGTATTCATCGTGGAGAAGATATACCAGCACGAGTTCAGACTGATGACCAAGCAAATGTCTAGAGTCCGATTATAAGGATCCTGATGTCTGGGAGAAAAATGCTTCCGAATTTACTGGAAACTCCGAGTATATTTCAGCGCGGTCCGGTGCCTCGGCATAGCTATGATTCTAATTCGCGACTTCGTCTCAGTTGAGCGGAATTGAGGCTCAGTCGGAGGAACCCCAAGCTCCTGCCTCCACGTTCGTTGCTGGAAGAGATGTAGGAAGCGATCCTGAGACATTGCTGGAATTGAGCGAGTCCCACGAGTGTCCAGCGAAGATGTTTATTGGAGACAGGATGACTGGAGACATCGAGGCACTTCCATTGGTCCCATCGGTCATACGCGACTGTTCATCTTTTGAATGCCCCGTTCTTCGCAGCTCGATCAATGAACATCTTAAATACATCTTCAGGTAGACTAGCGAACGATTTCGTGAGAACGACGGCCGTTGTGTGATTCATGGCGAACCTTCAGGAGAGAGTATAGCAATAGTAAACGTGAGCCTGATTCGAAAGTGGAGAGCTCATCACCATCATCAGTGACTGAGATCTTTCTCTCGGACGCACCCATTGACGCAGACGGCAAAATATTATCTCGTAGCGAGACTGGATTACCTGAAGCAAAAGTCTTCCAGATCTTCGGCCTTATACCGCACGGCGGCCATGTAGAAACTCGCGCAGTTGTCAATCGATATCCGTTTTTTAATAGGCGCTGACATCGAGCCTGGAAGGGGACATAGGCGCAATGAGATTTTCTTCTCCTTCCAACCGAGGGCTCGATTCTCGGTACGGAATATCAGCTGTGACTACTCGTGACGACAAACGTGGCACTCATAACTCGATGATGATTCCGATTGCGACGTCTCCTCTCGTGTAAGAAGAAAATCCTACCCTGAGATTGGTTTCACAGCAGGAATTAGCCAGATCAAGGAGCCCTATAGCTTCAGTCGGCGCTAGATCGACGTCACCAGTGTACAGGTATTGAAGGAACGCTCTGTAGACAGGGTAGCTGAACTGTGTCACTTCGATAGTATCGCTGTCGTTTTCTATCCAAGGCCCCTGCAGGCGAACACTGATGTCACTCATGAGTCGGAAACATCGCTAGGTACGAAAGTTTCTCCCCGGATTGAGATAAGGATTTCAATTGACTCCTCTCACTTGGAACATGTTTCGGAAGTACTCGCATTGGAATTTCAGCACCGTTTTGTGCACGTGTATTTTCTTGCCCTCTACGAGGAATTTCAAATCGGAATGAGCGGGATTATCGAAGTGCTCGGCCATAGCCAAGGCTAACTTGTTCTCCCATCTGAAGAAATCAATGAATTCACATTCTCGCCGTCTCGACACAAGGGTACGGATTATCACCCTGTTTCTCCTGCTGTGGTGCAAGTATTCACCGGTCGTCGGGACACAGGGAGAAGTCCGTCGTCCATTTAGGAAGCTTTTCGAGGGACTTACACTGATCTCACTATCATTGGGACGGGCGTCACGGGCACCGACGAAAAAGCTACAAAAACGTCATGAACGGAGTCGAATGGAGTTTCGGTCGGAACGGTCACGTGCTGGCCCCTACATAAGCCCCACATCAGAACCTGGAAAATTAGGGGGTTGCTCAGAGAGTAATGTATCGCGGCTCGCTCGATCCACCGATCCGGTCATCTGGAATCGAGTTGACCCATTCGGACAGCAGACCGTCCGAGCTCTCATCATCTCCAGGAGAATCAAGAGATCAGGAACTGACTTTTGAGGTTTCTGTCATGGCGGCTGAGGTCTGATTGTACTGTGTGGCAGCTACCTCGTTGATCCGCCCATGAATCGTTTTCATGAGAACGGGTATAGACTGTTTGGAAGAATAAGAAATGGGATGAAGGCGTGGTCCATCAGAAGTGAAAAAATTCGTGACATGATTGATAAAGACATTGAAAACTATGTCATGTTTTTAACATTGCCTGATTTGTCTTGTTTTCAGTGCCGAGCTGACCCAAAGCGTTCGCTCCCCACACGTACACCAGGCCTTCATCGGTCAGTGCGAGAGTGTGCGAAAACCCACACGCGACCTGTAGTAGAGTGGAAAATGTGATGAAATCAAATGTAAGTTAGCCTCCCTCGGCGGAATGATAAAGACCGGCTGAGAGGTCGATCACCTTTTTGATGAAGACATCCTTCAATTGCTCGATTTTCACAGGAAAGGGTTGATTTGTCAACGATCCTAGGCCGAGTTGCCCGTTGCCTGGATTCGAGGCGAGCGACAAATTTATCGATAGTCCATGATGAATAGCCGTGGATCCTAGCGGAGTTTGTTGTCATCTGAAGCTCCATAAACGTACCGTTCGAGCCCCAAACGTAGACTTCTCCGGTGTCAAAAACAGCCGTAGTGAAATTGTGTCCACACGAGATTCCGGTGCATTTCATTTCCGCGATGGCGCCGCCAACCTGATTGTTCGAATGGATGCTCACGGATTCGGCCCTCGTGAAAAGAACTCGATCCGCTTATTCATTCCCGCTTTTTGTACCGTAGAGTTTGAAGTCTGACCTTGCGCGGTGATTGATGATTTACCGAGGCGGAGAGCCCCAGTTGCCCGCAATTATTTTGTCCCCACGTATATACCTGCGTAAGAGAGGTCTATGTAACGAAGCAGAAAAAAAGACGCTGACTAGTTACTTGCAGCTTCATCCACGTAACATATCTCCGGATACGAGGATTCATAATGGAAAAGAAACGGCTGGAGACTCACTCCTCCCGAAACCGTACGAATCACAGAATGGTAACCGCCACAAGCGATCTGAGCGACGGGCTGCCGGTCAAAAACGAGCACGGGTGAATTGGCCTGTCGGTAGAGAAGATGTGTTATCAAGTTAAGCTCCAAAAAGTCTCTCAATCCCTCTCGACCAGAAGGTGGACTCACCTGCGAATTCTGATCATTTCCGACCTGAGAGTAGCCATTGTGACCCCAACCGTACACTTCACCTCTGGCGGTCAAAGCGAGAACGTGAGGTCCGGTGCCGCAGGCGAAGGACTGGACACCTTTTTTCGAAAGACCTTCGACCTTAAATGGAAGGATTCTCGATTGGGAGCACTCTCGTAAGCCGTGGGTCCCTCGAGAAGGACAGCGCATCGTACAGCGACCTCACACATCCCTACCTTGGTCGGGCTCAGACATGACCTTGTGTCGCCGATTCCTAGACACCCCGCCGCATTACTCCCCATCGCCCAGACCTGGAGCATAGGAGAAAACGAAAATTCCATCGGATCTCGATCATTCGAATGGATAAAAGACATACGCGTTCGATGAACCCCAAACGATAGCCTCTCATGCCCGTGAGCATGAAAAATATGATCTACCCTCCCTACCTCATCTTCCTCAGTGACCAATAATGCCTCAGTGGCAGACGAACTGAACACGCAGCATAGGCGGACTTTTCTGAGGAATTCCGGTTTGACCAGCGAGAAGATCAGCCACTTTTGCGGATCACCGACGATGCCTCCACTCGAGGTCGCCAGCGTTCCCCTGGAAGGTTGCGAATTTCCACCGTGCCGGAATATTTCCAGTTAAGCTTCGTGAAACCACCGTGAGAATTCAGGTCCATGGGGCATGTCATCGGGAATCCCGTGCAGTCAGGAGATTGGTACTAATGACCTACCCAAAAGGTAGACAAGTCTCGTGTTCTCTCTCCATTCTTGGTTGTTCGCTCGTTTTTCCGGAGGAATGCCCGCAGAATCGGTTCTGGAAATCGATTGAGTTCAACTTATATGCAGACGCCCCCCGGGGAGCGCAATCCGACGGGTGATTAGCTAATTCCGGATCATATTATCTATCACGAGCCGCGCGCTCACGGAGGATCCACGATCTATTCTAGTACTCTTCTGTCGAATCTGATCGGAATCAGTCAAGCTTCTTCGGGGAAGATTGACTGGATACCGTTAAAGAATAATGCTCCACTGATGATGTCCCGTGGAACTCGTCGTCGGGATCAGAAAGTTTTATGGCGCACCGAAGGTCCATAGAGTTTGTTTCTTCTCGTACCGTGGTGGGAGTCGACGGACCCTCGGCCGCCTGGGCGACTTTGCTTTTGGTTCCTTGTATGTTGTCATAATTTCTGTCAGGTGGGCGCTAGCTCGGAACACAGGCCCCCAGTCCCCGGAAATCGACATGGGCGTTCAAAAGTCTCGAAGAGCTAGAGCCCAGATCGACAGGGATCACGGCCAAGGAGGGAAACGCTGTTAGAAGAGGAGGAGGAGCTTCTCGCTCGAATCAGAAGAGGTAGCGCGCCAAGACACGAACGCCCTCTCCCTCGATCTCTGTTTGGCAGCGTAGATGGCTGGTGGGATTGAAATAAGAGATACGCAGTTTGACATGTCTCCTCATCGACACCTGGGCGATTATCGTGAACGCCGTGTCAGCCTGCAACCTGCTCGCATACGGCTCATACCTGCTTGAGTTTATTTGCGGAATGAAAGCCGAGTGTCTGAGACGAGCAGATTCAGCAATCGTCTATCGTCCCTCCCCGAGTGAGAACCTTCGTCCGGAATCCTAAAATCTTTGTCGATAATAAGGTTGAAGAAGGTCGGGGGGGGGGGCGACAAGCACAATTTGAGTCATCTACCGCTTCCGTCGCTCCGGGATCCCTCACCAAAAAAGTGACATAAGTCAGGTGAGAGCGGTAAACACACAACACCATACTGGAGCCCACACACTCGCCTCTTCGAGCGACGTGTGTGAGTCTCATTTCGAATGGAGCCTCGCGCGGGCTGCATCATCCGAGGTCTCTGAGTGAGTTCCTTTTCAGAGCTGCCGACTTATGCTGAAAATTCATGGTTTCCTTGCAATTTCAGTTTTCGGAGAGAGTCTACGCATACTGGAGGGTTGAGTTATGCATATAAGTTGTCGAGCCCCGCCTCAGAGGGGCATGGATAAACTCCTTCGAGTGTCCTTGCCGGCATGGAAATTCCGCAAAGTCAGGGAGGCTACTCCTTGGAGCATCAAGAAGAGTGGGGGGCAAGCTGAAAAAGTGAGGATCGACTGCAATCTCTAGCAGAGATGTTTACCGAAGTCTCTAAAGCACCGACGTGCCCGTGCTCGATCAAAACGGGAATCGGCGATCGATTTCACCGATAGTGCCGGCATGACTCGACTGGCTGGGATGGCTCAGCCGGGAAAAACGACGGATGAAAGACCTTCCCCGGGTAGCGGTTGCTGCAAGACTCCCTTGTGGCCCCCTTCCGGGGATATACTAGGGTCAACAGTTTTTTAGGTCAGCCTACACGATGATTGTGAGTCGAACATGGATCGCCAGATATTCATCGACACAGGAGTGAAAACGAGAACTTTGGGGGGAAGAATATATTTCTCGTCGAGAATTCAGCTGTGGGCTTCGAGCCGTACAAGACCTCGAGGGCTTGACGCTTGAATTATTTGAATCCTATTGGCTCGAGTCCCCCGGTTTCTTGGTGATCGGCTTCGCCAGCTGCTGGAGTTGGTATCGTTTGCGTTCCTTGCGGAGTTCGTGAATCATCTCCTGGCCACAGATGAGACGACGGATATATGATCGACTCATGATAATTATAATTATCAATCACTGTGGGAGGCATCATGTTGTCAGTATCTATTCCTGGAGAGGGAGAAATCCTACCTTGCCCTGCTTGTAGAACCGTTCGACGCGATCTTCGAAGACGTTGATCTCCTCGATTGTCGGCGGCTCTGAGCTGCTGTTCAGGAAATCGCGACCCAGGATCCACAGAAAGGGATGCATGGCGATACGAGTCGTTGATTCGGTGGTTTGTTCAGTAGTGGACACGGTGGTCATTCTATCTGTCGTGGTTTCGATATCGCTCTCGGGCGGGGTTCCGACGAACGCTTGCAGGTACGGTGCAAAGCGACTGCCGTGGAGTAAACCTGTTGATCGACAAGGAAGACCTCACCTTCGAACTCGGTGGCATCGCCGGACTTCGCAGATGGGGTGCAACGAAATTGAGCGGATGCGAGAGCTCTCTGAGAGAATATTCTCGCCAAACCGAGAGACACTAACCTTTCGGTAACACTCGGTAGAGAGCGGTCAGCACTTGCTTCTGAATCTGTTCCTGGTCTGGCAGGCCGGAAGTGAGTCCCGCCGTCGCCGCGAGAATCAAGATGGAAATGGAGATGTTTCGATTCTTCATCTCGGGGGAAAAATCAAATCCTGGAATTCTCGACGGTAGAGTACCCGCGAAGAGTGGAAAGGCACAGCAGGTTCCGACACCGCGCGAAGACCTGAATGGAATGACTCCTGGCTCGCTCGAGCCCCCGAATGCGGAGGCCTTCTTGACAAAATCCGAATGAAGAAGAGGTAGAGGAGAGTATCGATTTGGGTCACTGACCAGCGGAGGCGCCCCATGAGGAGGGGCTCATTTCTCCCTCGGTTCGCAGAAAAGCTTCAAATCATTTTCTTATTCCGACTTGTGGAGCAGTATCAATGGCTCTGCGCAGCTGTCTTCACTCGAATTCTGTGGATTCTCGGAACATGGCATCCGGAGTTCCTCGGTTTCCACCCACGGAAGGATATCCAAGTTCGAGGCAAAGACGCTGTGGGTCGTGTTTCTTCCTGCAAGTTCCATCTCGTGAGCTCTTTTTTCACGAAGATATTGATCGGTCCCGCCGTTTTGGCGGTACTTGTCGAGATCCAAAGTTTCCCCGCAATATCGAGGATCACATCGCATGGACAGTGCCCGGGAGAGTCCCGCGGTCCGTGACAGCATCATGTGATCGATGGGTGCCTGCTCTGTGGGGCCGGGTTGGTCCATGATCGTTGCTTTACTCCCCAATGCAGTCGAGATACCTTCCGACCAAGGATACGAGCATTATTATTAGTAGATTAGTAGCGTTATTAAATATTATTTAGATTTTGCGAGAGAGATCGAGAGATGTCCGTTGCCCGTTTCCCGAAAACTTTGAGGGAGTTTTCCGCCATCGCTGTGTGAGCAGCCTGAAATCGAAGCTTGCATGATGCCTCGAGCGAGAATAAATGAGCCATCACAGTTGCAAAGCTTCTAACTCGAAGTCTCCGATTCCCCGACCCATTCCGAATGAAGTGTCGCTCAAGCGAGAGCGGCATCACGAGTGCGACTCGGACCTAGGAAGACTCCCTTTCCTGATAAGATCCCAAGTTTAAGCGGGATTTCTCTAGAGACGGAATCTCAACATCCTTAACAGAATTGAAATGTCCCCTCCCCTTCGCTTGAGACTAGCAGTGCCCCCGGTCACTTCGCTCCATTCGAAAGTTCGCGCCTTTCCCTTTCTCTCGGATGGCGGCGGCTGAGCCGGCCGCCATTTTGACCACGAGTTGTCTTTTCGGTTCCATCTAGCCTCGTGTGAAGGCTTTCCGGAATCGGCAGGGGAAATGGTGAGTTGAGGAAGGCGATTTTCACTACATGCCGGTATGAGAGATCGAACTTCAGGCTGGTCCCACGGGGGAACTAGTCTCGGTCGGGGGAAATGTGGGATTAGCGGAAAATTGTGAAAGGATCTACCATGGTCCTCGCGGCGAAGTCGCATCTTCGTCTGGACAAGGTGTTTCGGCTGGAGAAGTGAGGCGGCCTTTTATGCGAGTTTCGTGAGTCGCTGAATCTGTTCCCTGTTGCAGGCGTCCCACAAGACGTTCAAGATAAAGCAGAAGCTGGCCAAGGCGGCGAAGCAGAACAGACCCCTTCCTCAATGGATTCGCATGAGGACAGGAAACACGATTCGGTGAGTTATGCCCATGCAATGTCGTGGAGGTCCTCCTGACAGGGGCTCAAATCTCGAGTTGGCAGTATGGAGGGAGTCTCGGCGCTGTCCCGCTTTTTTTCACGACAGAACGGGTTCCCGAGTGGGGATGTTATCGCGAGGTCTCAATAGTGTACCTCGGGCGATGTTCTTGTCGACCTGGGGAAGGATAGTGAACCGAGCTTTCAACGTGGACCATGGAGTCGATTCGAATGACGCGGACTGTTCCCTTCTGATTCCAGATACAACATGAAGAGGCGTCACTGGCGCAGAACTAAGCTCAAGCTGTAAGCTGAACGACCGGCCCACAACATCGCGAGGAACGTCTCCGTTTGTCTCGATGCTTGGATAATAAACGGAACTCCAGCCCGTTCATTTTGGTTGCCGAAAAAAACGCCCAGTGATTTCATTGTAGTTCCATCCAAAGGCTGACTTATGCCGAATATCGAAGTCGCTTGTAAACACATGTATGTGCATGCGGAGAATCCGATAGGTTGAGCCTTCTCTCGGCGGATATGGTACTCCGGGTGTCCTGTGGAGGAGATGCTGGAACCCCCGAGAGTGAATTCATCCTCCCGATCGAGGAAGCCGAATTTCCATCATGCGTGATCTCCGGGACAATGGGTGCCTCAGCAGAGTCATCAGTAATTTCTGGATGTTCCAGACCGTCTTGGGAAGTCGTAAATCTCGCGATGGGCGCTGCTGTCGTAGCTCGAATAAGTGGTCTTCTCCCGTCTCTCAACATCGAGCCCTATGTGCGCTCCGCGACCTGACACCCTTAGTAGATAGGAAGGGCGTACTTGCTCGCTGAACGGCGAAAGAGCGAAGCAGACTCGCATAGAAGAGGAGCTCCAAGCTTGTGAGGATCTATCGTCGCCATCCGCAATGGCTGATCTTCGCCGGGGGAATATGAAAGACTCTTTACCGATTCTTATATCTCACACTGGAATTTTATTCTTTTTTCTACAATTAAAAAGGGAAACCTCGGGAGCCCTAACCCGACCGGAATGCAGACGAAGCGAGCGGGATCATCGAGCAGGAGATCCGCGAGCATTGTGGTTTTCAGCCAGAGCGAGGTCGAACCCTTGGCGAATCATTCTCCGTCGTCGTTTCCCGTGAGACGAGTTCCTCCGAATCGGGCACGAATCCCTAGGCCATATCATCGCTCGTCACGGACTCTCGTGAGGAACTTAATTCGAGAAGTCTCCTCCGTCTCCGCCAAACTGGAAGATACGCGAATCTTAGGGAAGGCATTTCCCGACTTGGCGACCCAGAAGACGCTAACTCAATATGTAGAGGAAATAACTTCGATCGGAGGACACCTGGAGACGAATCTCACATTTGTTCAGACTGAAGCTTCAGGGTTTCGAAGGTGGATCCTCCTGTAGGTTTCAGCACCGGGGGGGCCAACCCCTCGATGGAGGCGTTTCTTTCCAAGAAAGCCTTCGTTTCGTGCAGGCATTCTGGAATTCATGAGGAGCCAATGAGAGAAAGAGAGAGATACCGGGCGGACACCCGAAAGGATCCCTTGATCGAGGGGAGATTTCGCGCATTGGAGTCCCCGTGAGGCTACGAGAATCGGCGATTCACCCCACCTTCAACCTGAGCGTTGTCACAAGACTGTAGACGATGAAGTCTCTTCACAAGATCCCTGTAACGAAGCCCGATAGCTCTTGGATTCGGAAACAGAGTGTTTTAGCGGAAATGGGAAAGGAAGAGATGCTAACAGATCTCGTCTTACATGGTGAGCAGCAACTCCCCGCAACTTCCCGAGAAGAAGAACGGGTTTATTCTGTTACAGAGACGGCACCTCCCTGACTCTAAAATTGAATATCGGGATATCGATATTCGACACGTTGATCAGACTGAGCCCCGCCGCTTGTCACTATTTGGCAGCGCTTTAGGACTCGGAGAATCGGAAGTCGAGCTATCGATCCTGGGACCGTCACGATCAATAGGAGAAAAGCTTCGTTTCTGAGCGCCGATCGGTTGAGAGTTCGCATCAGCTGGCGGTCCCAAGACCGCCAACAGTGTGTCTCAAGCGTTCAAATTTGAAATATGGCGCCAAAAGCTCCGCGCTCTCGACAATGGCAATGAACATGTTCGCAATGGCTTGGATCTTGCTGAAAAAGATTCGGCTTGGAGGCTCGTCGTGATCGTTCGAGGGCGAACGCTCGAGTATGCCATCAAGCGGAAGGGCTCAAGCCCGTAGCTTGGCTAAATGCCAATCATGATGATTGCAGTAGCTTTCCGTTTCTCTAACGGGATTAGACTGCCGCGAGGGGAACGCCGGCCTCCCCAAAAATTTTCCCGAAATTCCGGATGGTGGAACTCAAGGTCACACTTGGATGCTGCTCTCATCATTCACGGGATATTCACGAGGGATAGCCGGATATTCTCATTCATTCAATTAATTCACATACCCAGAGAAGGAAGAGCAGATGCCATGGAAAGTCTTGTTTATTCATTACAATACTATAAATTATACCCTCCATCATTGAACACTTTTCTTTCAGGTATTTAGAAGATTTTTACACTGTTTCCCCCGAAAACCTATTTGTATTTTCCACGACAGTTCGCTCTCGCGACGAGGCTTTCATAATTATCTGCATTCGGTGATTACAATAGCCAGCGTATCGCCATTCTCGATTAGTCGTTTTTTTCTGGAATTTATACGCAAATTTTCAGGTTCAGATGGATCCGGTGACGGAGAAGTCGCCTAGATCCACTTTCAAGTGTCCTTGCATCGGTCATGTGGAGTCGCACACTTAATGATTCTCTCGAGTCAAGTCATCAGGGTCTCAGAAATAGAATTCCGGCGAATTCGGAACGCCGAAAGAGACGAGCGTCACAGCGAGATCGGAGCGCTGGATATTTCAGCCCTAGGGATCCGTTTTCCCTCCGAAAGCGGGCCGAGTCATGGAAGCCGTATCGAAGGAGGGTATCATCTCGTCCTGCGCTATGGATACCGATATCGCTCACGAACTCATTCACAAGAGTGGAAAAAAATGTTCAGCGACACGCGTGGCCGTCCACTCCCTGCTTTCGCGAGAAAATCTCCCTGCCGATTCGTTTCAACAGGCAAGGACCCAATGGAATCATTCTTCTTGTGTCTTCATCAGAATCTCCGTCGAAGTAATTTTTTCTGTCCTATTTAGATGACACAGATGCGGCCGCTGTATGGACCGCTTGTCCGGTGCTCTCCTTCTGACATAGGTGGCAACTCCAGGAGCCTTCCGGCGGTTCCTTGAGAGGGGGCGACAAACAATACATGTGGTATCCGCGGTCACAATCGTCGCAGAAGAGCATTTGGTCATCGTTTTCACTCGTCCCGCATAAAGTACAAGTTTTGCACTCTATGCATTGCCACCTGATGGGGAATGAACATTAAAACATTAGTTCATCACTTCGACGGGGACGATCATCGAGTTTCGCATTCGACTCGGGGCTGGGACATTCCGGAAACCGGGATGTTCCAGACCCCGTGATAAGACGACCGATCATAATTCTCAGTCCTCGTCTCACCTGTACTTCTTCACGTTGTTCGTCATAACATCGGTGAACTGCAGGCACGTCGGATGTCCCGAACGTCCGCAGTCGGCACAGGTCACCATCTCTTCGGGTTGCTTGGTTTTCTTGTTTTCCGATTCGGTTCCGAGACAGAAATCGCAATACAATGGTTGTCGTTCCGCTGCTGCAGGACCATCAGAAGTCTCGGGGGTACCCTCGGTCGATTTATCTTTGTCTGCCGGAGACTTGAGGAAAGACAGGAAGTTGTCTTGGAACTTTCGCAAGCCCGCCAGAGGCGAAGCCTCGCTCCCTTGACGAGAGTCTTCCCGCGGTGGAGCCGGAGAGGTAGATCGCGCGCCCGGTGAAGGCGTGTCCTGACGAGATCCATGCGTGTGTGTATAATGGTACGATAGTCCAGGACGGGTCTTGTACCTAGCCCCGCATATGTCACACACGAAAGGTTTATCGTCGTCTCGGCCTGACATAGACGGGTCTTTGTCTTTGTCGGCGGCTCCCCGTCCACTTCGTCTCCCTTTCCTCGCTCCCGTCGCTCGCGGTGCTTTCGCGGTTTTCCCCTTCCGACGATCCTTCTTAGGTCCATAACTGTCGTCACGATCATCATCGTAATCCGATTCCGGGTCCTCCCAAACGTCCGAGTTCAAGAGATATGCTGGAATCGTCCCATTATAGTTAGGAAATTATTCATTGAACTCTTCCTCCTTATTCCTTGTCGCAATTCAATCTTCTTGGTACAGTATATGTGTGCACTCTCGTCGGGGGTACCTTCTTCCATGAACTCCTGCTCGCGGAGCCAAGACTGGTTACTCTCGTCATTCTTCAGAGCAGCATCTCTCGACGTCTCGTCCTCATCAGGATTAGGGCCCCCTCGTACACCGGTGTTTTCAACCAGCGAGATAGCAGTTTCACCTTCGATGTTTTCCCCTTTCTCTTTCGCGGCTAGCGCTTTCGAAAGTCTGCGAAAGGATCTACCAAAGTGACACACACGCAAAACAATGTTAAGTTCTGAACTCGAAAGGGATGAGGGATCGCGACAGGGGACAATGGGACCAATTTCGTAACCCCGAGGATTGGTTCGTCAGAGTAATAAGTCAATTCAAGCTTCTCGCTCACCTGTCATTCATGAGGTATTGTCGTTTCTTCTTGTACCACGCTGTAGCGGGATATGAGACCAATTGACCGTCTCTCCGTGGTGGCAGTCGCTCCATGCGTGAATAGCTCAGATGACTGTGGGTCTGGGCCAGATTTGTTTGTTGATCTGAGAAGCGACAGTCGTCGATAAGCTCGATTTATCGGAATCAATTAATCGATCGTGAATCCCCCGCGTGCCTCGCTCGATGCGCTATCAATGTCATGGGAGGAATTTCCCGATATCCTAGCACAGATTTCAAGAAGGAACAAACCCAGGAAGGGAAGACGTATTTTCCGCTCGATGGCTATCCGGGTGTTGACGTTCGCGGTCGACTCAATCATCTCCTTGTAGGATGGATCAGAGAGAGATTCTTTGAGCTTTGTCAAGAGCTTCGGAGTGATCTTCAACGGTTCGCAGGCGTCCAGCGGGCCGGGACGGCCGCGTGAGCTCACCGGGGCCATTCTGGGGGGAGGAACTCAGCTCATTCTCTCCTGCTTGATTCTGGCAATGACTTTAGAGTTTCGCGTCCCCCCTCCAATCGCTCGATACAACGGACGATTGGAAGAGGCAACTATTCTCCTACCCGATAGCGACAATGGCAATAAACAGATAGGAGCTCACGAGTCACGAGTCACGAAATCGCGATTCGATCTCATGGATGGGAGAGCCGAATAACTAGCTATTAGATTGGGAGTGAGGCAACGCTGCTGCGAGCTCATGTCAAAATTTCGGTCACCAGCACTCACAGCAGCTAGCAATCTAATGCAACCCTCTTCCTCGCACGGGGTGACTCAGAAAAATCGATCGTAGTTCAGGGATTGGGGAAGATCACCGACTAACCAGAAAGCTTGGAGTTCCTTTTTTCCTATGAAGAAATCTCCTCCTCGACCCGCTTCCCCAGACACCGCAGGTTCTGGAGCGGCGACTGTGAGAACATCAACAAAACCAGCGACAAAACAACAACAAACGAGTGCGTACCACAAGGTACCACAGCTGTTGTCAGCTAGCGTTGTTTAGAATGAGTTTTTCAACGATTGTTCAGCTCCGCACGAAACAGGTCTGCGACTCTGGATCGATTCTGAACCATCTGATGTCGTGGAAGCCGTCACCCTCCTCGTAGAGTTGTACCTGAGGAGTATGCCCCGATCCCCGACGACTCCCTCTATTCTCTATGGATTCAAGTCTCGTACCACAGGGTAGCATTGTGGTGCTCTCTGTTTTCCGCGCGGGCGGCGCGGACCCGAGCTCGACCTCGATAAGCGTATGATGAGCGTTCCGTGATCAAGTTCGACTTTTTTCCGGAACTGGAAGTTTGATGAGAGATTCACTTTTGCCCCTCGCCCGGATATGTTGTCCTCTATTCCTTGGGCATTGTTGTTGCGGAGACACAGTAGCTTCCTACTTAGAGAGTGGAACTTATCCTGACAGATAGCGGCGTCCACAGTCGGGTCCTTGCATGGGGCATTCCATTCCGGGCAGTTTCCTTAGTGACCAAGGAACAAATTCCACGGCGGGATCGACTGACTCAGGCGCTCACGCGAAGCTTGGGAATTAAACATATCCGGGTCAGCCCGCACCACCCTCGGAGAGATGGACAAACGAAACGCTTCAATGCAACCTCGATGCAGTGTACAGTGGTACCTCGACTCACGATCTTGATCCGTTCCCGGAGACCGATCATAAGTCTAGAAGATCGTGAGTCGAAACAGATTTCCCCATAGGAGCCCATAGAGGGGCGATTGATCAGCTCTGAGCGGAGTAGAAGGACCGCGAAATGTGTATTTATCGACAACAAAACCTCTGTTCATTAGTTGTGTACACATTAATTCAGCGCGAGTCGAGCGCCAACCGCGAATTATTCGTCCCGAAAAATCGGACGCAAGTCGAATTAATCGTTCGTAAGTCGAAACAAATCCTTCTAAAAAAAATCGTAAGTCGAGACGATCGTAAATCGAGGTACTACTGTATACGAAAGTACACCCAGGAAAATCCGAAGCATCCGGACACCCATCTGCGATTCGCGGCCCACGCCTACAGAACTTCCGTATACTGCAAACAGGTTTCATCCTAGCTCCTCCCCATGTGTCCTGATCCGTAGACACATATACCTCCGATATGTGTCGACGGATTCTCAGTACTCCATGGGAGCTTCGCCATTGCCTTCCTCGAAATGAGCTCACTGTCAGTCGCTTTGGTGAGTGACAGAGCCAATGAAGACATTACACAGGGAAGCACGAGAGAATTTCATCCCTCTTACATCTTCCTCTGAAATGACGGCCATCGAACGCTCCAACGAGAGTCCCGCCTAATCAGCGGAAAGGAATACCGCCATCGACGTTGCTCTCCAGGATCCTCTGAAAACTCGTGAATGCACCCGCCGTGGGTTCCGACAGGGAGGCTCGTCCTCCCCTGCGTGCATCGCTCAGAGCCTGCGATGTACGTGACCATCTATCCCCCGCAAAGATATCGTCATAGAAGCTCCCAGTTCCCAGCGCTCCCATCTCCTGATTGCATCATTTGCCCCAGCTTCAATTCCTCATCTCTCTTGAGAGATCATTTGAGACTACTGATGATTAGAAGAATCCAGTCCTAATATCGGGGCTCGATTGATTCGATTCAGGACGATGAACGCGGGTTGGTCGAAGGCTCTTTTTTTGTCGAAGCCTGTCAATCTCCAACCATTTAGTCACCAATGACGGAGACCTATCCTCCTTTGGCGTGGTCGACTGAGACTCTCTTTATTTCACAACAGAAGATATGTACAAAACTCTCCAGCTTAGATCCAAGGTGATGGCTCGCAGGATGGAATTCCCCTATCGAGATGGGAGCAACCGATAACGAGCTCCTACATATTCCGAAGACTGAAGTTCAGATTAGCGGGAGGGGAAGCGGCTAGTAGCGAATGAGATATCGCTCGTTCGGACGATTCCAGTCTAAGCCTTGGAAATTTCGGTCTGCTCGTTGAGGAGCATGTCGATCTCGGGCGGATACATCCCTTTCTCGAGTAGTCGATACATTTCCAAATACTGCTAGAACAAATCGGAAAAAGTCGTGAGAACAGTCTCTCGGAGCCCCGACAGCCCGGTTCGGTAGCCTTGCTCCCGTCCTGAGACGGATGTTCTGGCGAAGTCCGGCAGCCTGTCTCGGAAATCCTCTTGCTTGCATCCCCTTGCTGTGCGGGTCGTCTGCGTCTGATACATATTGAACGATGGACCCTTCACCGGCTCTGGAGTATAGCTCTACAGTCTAGGTCTAGCATACCCACCTTCGCAAACTCCTCTCTCAAGGTCATAACAGCCTTTTCTCGTTCTTTGACTTTTTCCTCAAGGTATTGATACCGAAGCTTTTTACGAGCACGGCATTCTCGCGCACTTTGCCGACTTCTTTCAAGACGAACCTGAGAGAAAGAGAATGTTCACTTGAGTAGGCACACGCAAATGCATCTGAGGACGGCGAACTCAGCGATCATAATCTAAAAGGTTGGGTATTTGGAGACGGCAGCCCTTGGAGACGGGAGGAACCTCGGGATACGGACGGCTCCCTACTAGCAGGCTCGTGCACAATACGTCGCCAGCCACGAAACAGGAAGAAATCGCTTCGCCGGTCGTATGTGTCCCGGATTTCGAGTTTCATCGGAGTCAAGATCATGAGATCTGCGATTCTCATTACTACTAGGGGTTTGCAGATGAAACCGGAAAATCCGTTAGTTGGCGCTCGCTCCGGCTTTGGTTCATATTTTCGCGCCAACCACAATGCGTTGTTTACATCGCCTCCCAGGCTCTACGAAACGATAGCGCGCGTTCGAAAATCAACTTGTGGAATTTTCGATAAATACGACCGAAAATGTCGACTTTTGTGCCAGATAAGGAAGTTTGCCGGAGCTCCCTCATTTTCTGCTACCACTTGGACAAAACGGCGAGTGAGGCACATTCTCTGCTCGTTCAGGCTTTTGGTGATCGCGCACTATGCAAGAGTCAATGTTACGCCTGGTACGAAAAGTTTAAAGCCGGGAATTTCGATAAAGAAAATGAACCGCGTGGAAGACCGGTCAGGAAGTTTTCTGTGCTCAAACCCGGTGAAACGGTCAACGCGGATCGCTACAAAGAGCAACTCATGAAATTGAACAGCGCTATCACCCAGAAACGTCCAAAAAGCGACCGAGATCGAAGTCGTGTCATCTTGTTGCATGACAATGCTTCGAGTCACCAAGCGAAAGCCGTCCGGGAAAAGCTTGCTGTTTTGAATTTTGAAGTCCTCGACCACCCGGCACATTCACCAGACCTAGCTCCTTCAGATTACTACCCATTTGGATTGATGGCCACCGAACTCAGAAATCAGCGCTTCTCGACATATGAAGACGTTCGAAAATGGCTATATGAATGGCTCGGCAGTAAACAGGAAGACTTCTACCGTAAAGGAATCCGGGCTCTCCCGGAAAGATGGGAGAGGTGCATAGCCTCCTTGGGAGAATACTTTGAATAAAGTCAGCCTTTTAGTTTTTCCGGAAAAATATTTTCATTTCTGAAAAAAAATTCCGGTTTCATCTGCAAACCCCTAGTATTCCGGGAGCAATGAGTGATTCTGCCAGGTAGTGTGCGAACGGAGATGTGCTCACGCATCGATTATCAACGAGGTGTCCTTCGTGACGTCACTGAGGTCGACAGGCTCAGTGAATGGATTCGCACATGAAGAAGAGCAGAGAAATCTGCTCCACCACGACCATCCATGACCGCTCCCTGCCAGAACGAGGGGATGCTTCCTCAAGGAAGATTGCATTGCTAAGAGCGCAGTATGGAGTTGGCAGCAGAACCGATGGTCATAATGTTCGGCTGCCTCCTCAGCAAGTGCGCTTGTTCCACGTTTTGTTAGTGAACAGCTCGGACTGAACTTACATAGGGAGCTGGATGGCCGGCGGACGAATGTGCTGAGTTCAAAGCAGCTGCGTGATGGTAATCTCGTACCTTCATCTCAGATCCTTTCGGCATGTGAATTCCAGACGTAGACGGGAGCGATGTCGAGAGAGGCATCGTTGATCCGCTGCTGCTCTTTCGAACCCCTCGTCGAGATCGTTTCTGTCCAGGGCTGAAATCTAGATCGCGCTCATCGTCCTGGAAACGAAAAAGAATTGACTCGATTACTTGAGGACAAGCAGAATACCTCAGCGAACTCCACCGAATTTCCTGGTGACTCTTGATAAGGATCTTGCTCCAGGAATATTTTGATTGATCGCACTTTTCACTTCGCCTGAAATATCTCCCTGCGGCGAACTCCGATGCCGAGGCGCGCGGTGCGCGGTCGGGTAATCATCTGGAGAAAATTTCCATTGGGAGCAAGGAGTAGACACAGAGCACTTGCCCCGCTTCCCCACGATATCGACGAGGTCTATCAGCGTCATAATCACAACGTGATCAGCTGAAGGACTTATCGGTCGGAAATGGTGATACGCATACGCTCATTGCTCCCGCATCTTCCCATGTCCACTCGGGATGGACATCCCGCGCTTCCGCAACATCACACAGCACAGAGTCAGCGCATCATCGAGCTCCCGTAATCGAGTCGGCGGAAGAATTCGGGACTCCTGTATCGGTCCATGATTCATTCCTGAGCCGTGGTATGTCACAGGCGCGCTCATTTGCCAAGACTTGGGATCAGCTGTTTCAGCTCGGATAGTGTGGAACGAACCTGCATCGCGTAGTCATCCAGTGTGATGTAGAGATCGTCTTTGGAGTATTCCATAGCTGCCGATCAGACGATTAGAGTCCTACGACGATTCCTGCCGCGCTTCGCAAAACTTTGGCTTCAATTCAGAGTAACTGCGCAGTTGACATGAGAGAATGTTTCTGTTATGGTTGAGAGCTACGACTATGACGGTGCTGCTCCTGCGGCGTGGCGGCCGCCGCTGCTGCGGCCTCCCTCTCCCATCTCGGAGGAATAGGCGCGTGTCACTGTTTTCGAAGGATGACGTCATTTCGCGGCTGGTTTCTTTTGCGCGTTCCCTTTTGCCGCGTATATTGCCAACACGCAGGGTCTATCACAAGAATGGTCCAGAGGTTCCGCCGTAATGAATATCGCTTCCCGGTGCCATGTATAAGCAGCATTTAGCAAGTTTATTCGGATCATCCGTGAATTATCTCACGACACCCGCCAGTTTCCTTTTGGCCGCTGGGTAAAGCAAAAGACTATCGAATTATCAAAGAGCTGAAGTTGTTTTGATGTAATGGTCCACAGCTTTTCCAAGGAATGCCATGGTACCGACATTATTCATTACCACTTCATGGAAGTCTCGGATGTCGAATTTGTTGCCTGAAAATCGCAAAAATGTCGGAGCGAGGTCACTGATATCCTCACGGATTGGTTAGGAGACGGAATCGATTTTTTCGCCTTAAAAAAAATATAGCCTCACCCAAGATGTTTTCAGCTTCGCTCCTCAGCCTCTTCAACTCGATTTCACCGATCTTGTAGCCGCACGCCTGGCCTGGCCAGCTGATGTATCGGTCGATCTCGGAGACGATTTCTGCGTGGGTTGCCCCAGTGTTCTCCTCCAAGTAAGCGATGGCTCTCTCACGCGGCCACCTGGAAGAGCGCGAGTTCCGAAAGCTCGTCGACTCGATGATGATTCCAAGATGGCAGAAGTGATGCGCGAAACTTACTTGAAAGCGTGCATTCCCGTGTCTACGACCAATCGACAAGCTCTCAGCAACTCTTGCGAGTAGTGACCGTATCTTTCATGAGCGTCTCTATAGACACCCATTTCGTGACCCAGGTACTCGCAATACAGACCCCAACCCTGGAATGAGTGACTCATTATAAGCTCCGATGGATGAGAGAAGGGAAAAATAATTCGGCTCAGTCCGCCGTCGGTAGGCAGGGGAACATGCTCTCGCTGACGCCGTTGGCGTCGCGAAATACCTCGGTGTATGCTGTGTGGATTGGAAAATGGGTCGGCATTTCGGAATATTTTCGATCTTCCATCAGGAGTCTGAATTTCGGCAGATCCGGAGTTTCCAACATCCTTGATCCTTGCAGATGGTGGCCCGGGTTCGCTTCGTGAAGTGCCAATGCTGGCAGAATGTACGAGGGAGTCCGATGAGGATCGCATCCGTTGATGTAGAATGTTCCCGGTCGTGAGCCGTCCATCGAACCCTGGTTAGAAGAAGCTTGACTGATCTGTGTCCCCGCACGTCGCGATGGATGTCATGAAACTCTCGATTTCCCGCGATGAAGTCGTGGGCGAATTAGGAGCTTGGGTACCTGAATGTAGAAAGCGGCGGGTCCGGCAGCCCGGGATTCGTCCACGAGGACGAGCCTCAGTTTTGCCTCGGGTAGTTTCCGGAAATATCTGTGTAATTGAGGCTGAATCCTCTCTTCAAGGATCTCCTCATATCGTTTCTTGATATCTTCCGCACTGTTGAGTAGGAACTTCGGATCTTCGCGCATCTGGTCGCCGTATTCCTTCGGGGTGAGCGTCGAACCCCTGTTTTTGATGTCCTGCAAATACAGTCTTGAGCAATAATATGCGCTCGACGAAAGCGTGATCGAGCATCCGCTCCTGATTTCGCTTGACCACTGGTGTAGTTTCTTTACATGGCGATTCATCTGTGCCGACCACGCACTTTTAGTATTTCGCCATTGATGCGTTCAACTTCTCGAAGTCCGATATCGTGGACCTCCTGGGGTGTCATCACACAGCCGAGATGGAAATTCAAACACTGCTGATAGTAAGCTTCGCCGCCAACCGAAACAATGTCTATATCAGGCCTGCATGATGGCACGTAAATGTTTTCAACAAACACGGCTAGCTTGTCGAGAGCAGCTTGAAGCTTTTCAATACTTTTGACAAGCTTCTGTTTAATTCCATCGGACAGTTCTCCCTTGTATTCTTGAACGGGTCTGCAAAGAAATCCGGAGTTTCCATCATTTTCAATCTTTTTTTGTCATCTACCAGAAATCGTTTATCCGTGAGAGAATATATTGAGAGAATGAGCTTAGACGTCCTCGAGGAGATTAAGGGATGATCCCCCGATTGAGGAATATCCATCGATGGAATTGGAAAAACTCGGGAAACTTGCCTGTAATACATGGTCCCCGTAGGATCGGTAGTCGCCAGACGTTTGATTGCTTCTGCCACCTTTTCCTGGAGCGAAAATCGCGAACTTAATCTCCTTGCTCCCCGGATCTGACGGCCGAGGAGATAAGGTGCCATTCCCGCGGGAATCGTCGATATGAATGGGGAAAAGTCACAGGGCAGCTATGTGCGAAGTAACCAGGCGAGCTTCCGAATGTCTCACCATCGATACTGAGTGCATGGTCAGTTTGTGCTTTATACCGAGGGTCATAACGGACATTATGCCGTCAATCTGCTCAACAGCCGCTTCCAGTCGTCGCGCGAGCTTGTCGAAATCTTCTTCGTTCTCGAACTTCATATACGATACGGTCTGGATCAGATCCACGTGTATTCCTGGAACGTCGTTGATGTCATACCCAGATCGAAATCCATCCTGGGTTCGGATGTATCGGATTGCGAGGGCTTAGGCTCAGTCGATATTCGAGACCATTGTCGAACGATGTTGAGGCCGGAGTAATGTTGTATCACTCGGACTCCCTCGGAGTCCGAAAAGCTCGGAAAACTGATCCGCCTACGGGGATCCGAATTGCGCGAGAACGGGAGAGAGAACTCTGCGAACGCTTACCTTCCATGCGGCACAGAGGAAATACGTAGGACATAGTTTTGTGTCCATCTAGATACGCTTGGAGCATCTCGATGAAAACTTCGATGTTGACGGATGTCAGGGCGGCGCGAATATCTTTCGCTCGGCGGAGAAGCGACTCGACCTTCTGTCTTCGTGCTTCGAAGGTGGTCAAGTCATAGCTCTCGAGCTGAAAGTATTCAGAGCTCGAGAAATCCTCGAGAATCGTGCAACTCGGTCGATCCGCACGAATCATTCAGCCAATCGTCGGGAAGATCGATCCACAAAAAGAGCCGGCGGAATGAAAGAAACTTCTGTGCTCAGTTCGTTTTCTAGACGACGATGGAATCATGATGCTCGGGGCGTCAGCCGTGTTGTGGAAGCTCAATGTGAATAGTGATGCTTGCATAGACATTAACATTGTCTTAGGAGCAGAGCATATCCTTTCCTTACCTTGTCGTCGTATCTGTGGTCGCCGACCATTGTGGCAAGCTCGGGGGAATCTTCCATTCTCCATGAATAGAATTCTTCGAACAATTCAGATTCTGCTGCTGAAGTCATGATGGTGAGTTACGGAACACACTATTCTATGAAACGTTCGAACCGTCAGAGAGGCTGAACCCCAAAAAACAACATGCGTTGGTAAATCGCGACCCTTCCTGGTGGTAAACGGCGCCGCGGTTCTCCTACCGGCCGGCGCGGCGGTCATGGGGCAAGCTGCATAGATTGCCGTGCAATGCCTTCTGTGTGAGCCGACGACTGACTGATGAGATCTTGTTGATGGTTCTCGATACATGATGAATCATCCTTCCATGTTTGCGCGAGAGCATAAGTCATAAGTTATTCGACCCCGCTGAATTCAATGAATATGTGCATCTCTGCCCTCGACGCAGCGCATATATATATATTTATTCAATGAATATTTTGTTTACACGGATACGGATGTGAATACGAGAACGATTACATTATCTGCATTCGATAGATTTCATGAACACAATCATATTCAGAAAGCATATCTGCACATATATGAATATGTGCATGTGCATCTCTGCCCTCGAAATGGAAAAGTAAAGGAGAACTGACTAGGGGGGTACCAGAAGTGCTTCCCCGCGGTTTTGACCAGATAGTGCGGGATTTGTAGGTCGACCCGAGTCAAGAAAAAAAACGCCACTTGCCCGATCGGCAGGTGGGCTTTTTTCACCGAGAAATCATCTCATCTTTGTATGGAGGTTTCTATGTTTCACGGTCTGAGGAAGGTGGGCGGCGAGCTCTGCGCACCGTATAGTGATGCCCGCCAGGCTTTGAATTTCCTCGAAAACGATGAGCATTTGGAGACCACACTCAGCGAAGTATCATGCTCAGCAACCCCTCAACAGATACGTATCTTTTTCTTCGATAATATTAACAACATGTTCCCCATCCGACCCACGGGATCTTTGGGAGAAATTCAAAGATTATATGAGCGATGATGTTCTTCATCGCATTCGAACGTCAAGTTTGAATTCTGAAATCGAGTTCACACCCCAGATTTATCGGCAAGACTTTCCCTATTTCTCTGCTCTTAGCAAAAGTTCGGTCCCAAAATAAGATTGCTCTTGCAATCGCCTCATCAGGAATCGCAGCAACTCTTCTGGATGGTGGGCGAAAAGCGCATCCAACATTGAAGCTGCCTCCGAGTCTGCATCTGAGCAAATCGCCTACACGTAAAGTCACGAAGATATCGAGTATGGGTAGAATTCTTCAAATAGGTGAGCTAATCATGTGGGACGAATGTACGATGGCCCACGAAAAAGCACTGGAGGCTCTTGATAGGTTATTGAAAGACTCAGGGGATAACGCGAATCTTTTCGGCGAGGCACTCATTCTCTCCTCAGGCGATTTCCGGCAGTCGCTACCAATCATTCCGCGGTCAACACCTGATGATGAACTCAGCGCTTGTTTGAAAGCGTCGAGTCTCTGGCGTCTCGTAAGAAAGCTATTTCTGCGAATCAACATGCCTGTTCTCAGACATAATGATTCATCCACCAAATTCTTCGCCAATAAATTGTTACTTAGCGGCTTGGCGATATCGGTGAGCTCGGTGAAATCAATTCTGAGAGCCGGGAACCTCCATGGGAGGCGTCCAAGTCGAAAGCCTTTCATTTGAGTCAAAATTAGGAAGGCCAGACTCGAGTTCGCCATACAGCACAGATGCTGGACTGCGAGAGACTGATCTCGAGTTTTGTGGAGCGACGAAACCAAGTTTGATTCGTTTTCTCCCGATAGGATCCGCTACGTGCGACGTCCCGTGAACGCACGAAACCACTCGAAGTACCAGGTTCCGACAGTCAAGCATGGCGGAGGCCACGTTGTGGTGTGGGGTTGCTCTACATCCGCAGGTGTCGGTCCATTGATCGAAATCGAAGGTACAATGGACCGATTCAAGTACTCCGGTATACTCGGTCACACGATGCTGCCCTACGCAAGGACCCATCTTCTCGCGGATTGGATCTTTCAACAAGATAACGATCCCAAACACACCTCGAAGCACGTTCGAGAGCTGATCGATACGCGAAAAATCATTATAATGACTTGGCCAAGTCAGAGCCCAGACTTGAATCCAATCGGAAACCTATGGAATTCCCTCGATAGACGCGTGAGGCTCAGAGTAGCTTCGAATAAGCGTGATTTGCATCGTCGCTTTGAAGAAGCATGGACAGCGATCCCCACCAGATGCTCGAAGGTGATCGAGGATACGCTATTGACTACTGATATGTTCGAATAAGGAAATCCACCGTGATATCAATCATCTCAGAGTAGACTCGATTTTTTTCCTCAACTTACAGAGGCGTCAAAAAACTTTTTGACGGGCATTTCGCGCACAATCGCTGATTCCGAGACGGCGAAGACCGAGACGTCCTGCTCTTCCGTATCATCGAGTGTGCAATCTTGAGAGGTGTTCGATAGGCATGACGTTCCTGGATTCGCGTTCACTGACTCGGCCGGATTCCGAAAACGTGTTTTTCAAAATACTTTCCGTCGCTAGTGTATACTCCGACTCTTTATCTCCATACTTTTAGATACAGATACTCTGACTGTGTTTCTTGACCACGCAATGCTGCTATACATAGTATGTGACTTACTCAATTCCACTCAATTCCAGGCTGTCAGTAATTATCAACAATGAGCTCTCGATATCATAAGGCTCCCTGTGTAACGCACCACAGTTCAGTATGTCTGACTTGAACATACTCTATGAATGAATATCTTGTTCACGCTGTGCTGCTCAAGAAGTCTACCGCCGGCAAATGATTCTATGGAATGATGTACGCGACTCCATGCACGTATTCGAGCAAGCTTCTTTCTCCTGTCTCGAATTCTTGAACGAGGCTGACTCGTCTGGCGTTGAGGACTCGGTATTTTTCGCTTATCGGGGGCGGGGGCTGTCGCATACGCACTCTCAGCATATCCAATCGCAATATCTCTTCCTGTTTCTGCAGGTACCATCTCAAGGATATTCAAATGGTGTTTTTTTACGATTCTGTTCAGGGCTTGGAGCAAGCCCTCTACATGGTTTGTGGTTCTGGCGCCGGAGTTCCGATCATGATTCAACAATCGCCGAATTCAAAAACCTCCGATTTGTCATACGCAGCATGCTCAGATGAGGGCGATTCGCTGTTGATTTGGAGCCAACCGTCGTCGATGCGATCGAGTGGCACCAAGGCCAACGCGGCCGCTGACCGGATGGAACGCCTGATTTCGGGGTCTCCGTAGTGGACGACGAGTCCCAGGGCTTGCACTTTGCGCCAAAGACTTCGGTTGAAATGGGAAAAGCATCCTTTCAAGTCCGTGGTTGGGAGGGTTTGTTCGAGTGCTTTCAAATACGCAACCTCGGAATCAAGTTGGAATGCTCGAGGATTGAAGGTTCTACCGAGGGGGACCGCATCATTCCGTATGAGATTCAACATCCGGACATATGTTTCTTTGGTCTTATCTGGTGATAAGAAGTAGGCGAACGGAATCATTTGTCCTTTGGAGAATCCGTGAAGAGTATACAACTGGCTGAACAATTTCGGGACAACTCTAAAAGTGCCGCCCATAAAGATGGTCGGAGCGTTCCTGAGCGATATCATGGGATCATTGGTGCTGAAGCCCAGAATCCGGTCCTCGTCTCCATCGTCGAAAAGTAAGAAAGTTGCTCCTGTAAGTGTTCTAATCCACTGATCTTCAAGGTGAATATCTTGACGTGTAGACGGTGAAGGTTTTTCTTTTTTATAGTGGAGCAGCTCGCAAAAGGGGGACCCTATTCGCAAAAGGAACTGCGAGCGCGAAAAGGGGGGGACTGAGGTGAAGGTAGGAGGAAAAGGTAAAAGAGCCATAGTAAAAAATGCATTGACCTGCAGGTGGCCTCCGGTGCGAACTCGCTGTAGCATGCTCGCAACGTTGTCGATGCTCGGTATCGCGGCTCTGATTTCTTCGTCATCGTGGTTGTCTCGCAATGAGCTCACTGCGATGGCCAAGGCATTGGAAAACGCTTCCCGCAGACTCATTTCTGGCATGATCCGCACCGTTCTTTTCTCATTTCTGCGCAAGCACTTCGGTTGATAAGACTGGGGTGCTCAAGTGGGTGGCAGTGAATGCCAAGGACGGCTTTGGCTTGCTCTAGATTCGACGAGTCTTCTTTGAGAAGATATCGCCGGATTCCGGATTCCGCTGCAATAGGTATGCACATACGATGGCCAATCTATGGCACGCACATCGAAATTGAATCCATCTTTGTCGCTCTTGTGTAGACCCGCGAAGAGATTCTGGGTATTCGTGTTGTCGAAAACCCATTCGTTCGTCGCGAGAAATTCCAGGAGGTCCATCGATGCCGAGAGTCTTCGGTAGAGTTTCGCTGCCATTGTTTTTTTCCGAGCCAATCGCAGCGCACCATCGATCACCTGAGCCGGAACGTAGTGTTGGAGAAAGAGACCTATTTTGTGCAGTATGACGCCAAGATCCGGTTCCCAGCAAGTATAATGATCGTGAAATATGTAGGTGCAGATTGAAATGTGGCGGATGGTTCACATGACATCCAGATTCTGATGTACCTTAGCAATTAATGCCCTAGCTGAGCAACCCTCCTGCTTTTTACGGATGCAACGGCTGTAAAATTTCTGATAAACCCGCTTATCTACCGCAAATATGTAGTCATTGACTACGAAAAGTGAATGCTTTTCGCTGAGGCAAATTATGACACATTCATCGTCTTAATAGTCAACGGCCAACTTCGACGTCTTCATGCAATCTCACGGCGAATAAGGATGATATCTCCCTCGCCACCTTGAGGGACGTGCATCACGAATCACCTCTCGGAGTCTCCGAGAATTCAAGACAAAGCTCCTGAGCAATGATTGTTCAAGCTTCGAAATATAGTGTTCATTGGCGTTTCATCGATATATCAAATGCATTTTTCGAATCACATCAGAACTATATGATACCTCTCGATAAAACATAAAGATCCAGGACTATGCATGGGAGAGGGTGAGAAGTTATCTCTGATCTAAACAATTCCGGATATTTCCCAAAAAGAACGCGGGAACTATGTCGATTCGCCGGTGACATGATATTATTTTCGAGCTCTGCGACCATACGGCCGCCTGATCATCCCGAGCCGTCCTTCGAACATGTTTTACACTC